AAGGTCACGTGAGTGACGTGGCCGAGGAGGATCCAGATCCGCTAAATCCCTCTTTTTAAAATTTTCTATTTTTTTTTATTATTTACTTGGTTCCGACTTTATTTTTAATTTTTAATTAATTATTTATTTTTAATGCCTTCGATAGCGACAAGGGGACAAATGAATCAGTGCCCCATCTCGTGGGCGAATACGAAAAATCGAAAAAAAGTTTTAATCGTCAAAATTGGAGGTTCCCCCCCCCCAACTTCCGAAGCGAGGGGAGGAGAGGAATGACGCGACACGATGATGTGTCGGCCCCTTGTCTTTTTTCCTTCGGTAATGATGTCCCCACTTTCAGATGACGCCTGGCCTAGTTCTACCTCGGATGTTGTTCGTACTTTTGCTTTTGGGAGCCACTTGGGACTATTCTAATCAATAAATACTTTGAAAAATATTTAGGTTAGTGCGACGAAAAAACTCGATAAATCTTTCTCAAATTAATTTTCGAATTATCAAAAATCTTAAATCGATATATTTATAATGAATTTACTTCAACTTCATTTTTGAATTGCAAAAAACCTTAAATTAATACATTTGTGATGTAGAACAGTTAGCCTGTGATTATCTTGAACAATGTGATCACCGTAATCACCGGAAATCTCGACAGTTTTTATGATTTTGGGGAAAACAACCATTCAAGCAGTTTCCTATATTATCATTTAGGCAGTTTCCTATATTACCAGTAAGGCAGTTTCCTATATTATCATTTAGGCAGTTTCCTTTATTACCAGTAAGGCAGTTTCTTATATTACCATTCAGACAGTTTCTTTAATTATTCGGTTTCCATTAGTATTAGGAGTCCTATCTCTAAATATAAGATGTCCGTCTTGTAATCAGAAACACAGTATTATAGAATAAAAATTTCGAGTTCTTTGGAGTTGTTCCAAATTTACGCTTCTCTCTGCGTCAATTTGTGACATATTTACTCTAAAATTGCTGAGCTGGATGTCACGTTGATAAGTTCACGTGGAAATCCATATCAGTTTGAGGTAAATTTATCGTAAGTGTATCAATTTGGGATTTTTGGTAATTTAAAAATTAATTCTGGATAAATTTATCGCAAGTCTATCGATTTGAGATTTTTCGTAGTATTAACCCAAACAACTATAAGTTATGTTCAGTAGAAATATTTATTTTTAGCACTAATTATGCATGTGAGAAAAGAAATGCAACTTCAAAAAATGTGAAGATCTCTTCATTTGAATGGTTAATGAGGATCGCAGACGATGGTCAATAAAACTCTAAAGTGATATGAAAATCATATGATGTCGTCGTCCAAAAATGGGTCTGCAATTTACCACGTCATTTGATATATTGAATTAACGGTCCGATATTTTGTACAAGAGAAAAATCATTTTAAGGGTCCATTTAGGAGGAAAACTGATTCCAGAAAATTGCTTGCTGACTTTTCGCTATTTTGATGATGGAGACCTAATCAATTTACAGATTGGAGGAAGACGACTTCTCGTTCTGACAAGAACGTGAAGAACAAAACATGCGAAAATGAACTATTTTCCTTGAAAATAATTTTCATAGAAAATGTTTTCTTTTATCGTGAGGTGTTCAGTTTGCCAGAAGAAAGAGATCGTTTTCACCAAATATAAACTTATTGTAAATATTTTTCGTAAATTGATTAGAAATAATTTCCCCGAAATAATTGTCCTTTTACACTGACACGACTCTATAGTTTGAACAACACGCACGGCATCGAGACTTAGGTGGAGCCATATTCAAATCGGTCAATCATGATAACGCACGACCCCTTACGTGTCACAATCGCGGGTTTTCCCACGCGCCGACGCCCCCCCTCGAAGCCGCGCGTGGGGAAGAGACTCGGCGGGGGTGGTGGGGGGACAAAAGTAGCGTGCGGTGCGCGCACGTTGCGCGTCACATCGACAGCGATATGTGGGAGACGTACTCGACTTCGCGCGATAAGAGCCCACGCGATCGCGTCCCGGAGGAGGGGTGGGCGGGGCGGGGGGGAGATCTTCTCGCGAGATATCGCGGCGGCGGGCGGCGTGAACCCCACGCGCGTACAAGCTGTCGTCCTCGCACCCAATTCTCTATTTCTATTTTTAATAATTTTCCGTAATATTTGTGTGTGTGTGCGTCAACAACTTTTTGGTGAAGTGAAGTCGTGTCGTCCGACTCCACCGCTTGCCGGGTCAAACCGAACTTATGATTGACGGTTTGAGCCGGACAGGCCGCCGCTTGCGGATTCCCCGTTTTGCCCTTGCGTCTCGGTACGGACAAGGCCTCCTTTCGTTATTATTATTATTATTATTTATTTTTTCTGACTTTGGGAAACGGTTTTTCGGTGCCTAACCTTTTATCCAGAAAAATTTATTGCGAGGCCTCCGCCTAAAAACGAGTGGTGCTGGATGCAACCAAATGTACGGTACCCCCCACTATTCATATACCCTTTCTTTTTTTTGGCCCGATGTCATTTAAAAACTCGTACTATGTACGTGACGCGTTTATCTTCAATTTATTTTCGTGTCATAAAAAGTCATGAATCCGTATACCTATCTTATGCGTACCACAAACTGATTTTCGTGCCGCGAAAAATCATGAATTAGTACGATGGTGCCACGTTTACCCTCGAATTATTTTTCGTGTTATTAAAGGTCGGAGAATTTTGCATATTTTCGAAACTTGAGGGAGTTTTTAGGACAGGATTATCAAATTTTGGCAATTTCTCAATCTATGATTTAGTTTGAAGTATATGTGACACATATATCCTAGTTTGGGATTTCCCGTGACACGAAAATTTATTTGGATAAATGTGGCACGAATATACTAATTTATGATTTTTTGCAACATGAAAATTAGTTTGAAATAAGCATAGCACGGGTGTACTAGTATGTGACTTTTTGTGTTATAAAAAATCAAAAAGTCTGGCTTGAATCTCACATTATCTAGCGGGGCATATGCATGTAGAAGCATCTCAAGTTCACTTTTTTTCTTCCTTTTTCAGTTAAATAGGCTAAAAGAACATCATCAGAGAATTACTTGATCAATCATAAACCTATTATATGGATACCAATTCAGTTATAAATTTTTCAATTATACTAATTTAGTTCTCAACCTTGTACGAAATTCCAATGTAGTTCTCCTGGCAAAAATACAGATGTGACGGTATGCCACGTAGGACGGTTGGTGATGACTGGACGCCACGTTAGCGATCTTTTGCGAAAAATTACCTGAAATGATTATATTGAAATTTCGTGCAAAAGTTTAAAACTAAATTGATATTGAAAAGTTTATGACTAAATCGACTATCCATATAATAAGTTTACGACTGATCGGGTAACTTTTCCCCGTCATGCTGGTGAAACTTGGTCACGGATGGCAGAGGTAAATTTTATGTCAACTACTCCATCATATAGGACTCACGTTTTGGTCTGGCTCAAGTTGTTGGTATGACCCAAAATGTAAGGATAGGTCAAGAGGTCATTCATTGTGCAGCGCTCCCGTTGAAGCATGCTTAGTTTTATAAATGTCCACAAATTGAAAAACGGGAGATTTCTATTACAGGTTTCGCCATCTCACATTATATGATACGTTAGAAGGACCCGAATACTCAACCCGTACTCTGGCATCACGTTAGAATATCCGACTCAAAAACTTGAAACATTAGATGGAGGTACACAACGTGGCATGTAAGGCATAGTTAACTCCAGTAGTCTCACGACGTGGGATTTTACTTTTAGCGCGAATAATAATTTCTGATGTTATTCTTATGTATGATGTGACGGCTTTATCTGGCGGGTAACTTCCTCTTTATGCTTCTCCCATCTTTGCTTTTTTTTTTTTGGTCTCACTACTCTCTTCCACGTAGTCATGGCCACGGTTCGAAACCGGCGATTCTAATTCGTGGCCATGTGTGAACCGAAACCGGAACCGCTCCTAGTGGTTCCGGTTCCGGTTCGTAATTTAAAAATTAAAAAAATAATGAATTATAAAAATATGAAATAATGAATTATTCAATATAAATTATAATCAAAATGAAAATTGTAGGGGTGATCGGTTTTCGGTTCCGACCGGGAACCGAACCGGTAAGACCGGTCCTTTAATTTTGGAACTAGGAACCGGACTGGCAGGTTCCCGGTTCTAGGCGGTCCAATGGAACCCTTTGCTCTTAACTAACAAATGATCGTAGCCACAAAAGGCATACAACTTCACATGCTCATGGCTTGGCTTGGGTTTTATAAACAACCCCTTTGATGGTCTCTTCATTCCCATTCGATGTGGGACTCTTGGCATTTGCATGAAGACAAGCCAAGAGTCTCACATTGAAGGTGTTCAAGGCAAGCCGAAAGTCCCACATTGAATGGGAATGATGAGACCATCAAATGGATTGTTTATAAAACCCAAGCCAAGCCTTGTAATTAGAGTTCAATACACCCAAGCCAAGCATTGTAATTGGAGATCAATGCACTTACAATGCATGGCAATTAGAGTTTAATTTGTGTTTATAAAAAAAAAAAAAAATTTTTTTTTAAATAAAAATTTCATTATTATTATTATTATTTTTTAAAAATTTGGAACCGGGGGCCCGGTCAACAGGCCGAAACCGGCCCGTGGCCATGACTACTTCCACGTGCATGTGTGTGCGGTGTTAACAAGAACTGAACTCCGGACCTAGTACTCTCTGGCCCATCTCCCAACCCCTTTACCAACGGAGCCTCATGCTTGCCATCCGTGTTTCCCAAGAGCACCAGAGTTATGGTAATCTTCTCAACCTTGTGCAGTCCCAGTGGCCTATAATGGGCTCCGCCCGTGCACATAAATGCCTTCCTGGCCCTTCTTCAGACATGGCTGTATCATCAAGTGCAGATTCTTCTCAACGAATCACCAAACATAACATTGGCAATAGAGGTTTTCTAGTTTTCTAGGCAGTAACGCTACTCCCGACAAAAGTTCGATTTGCGCCAGTCAATTCAAATAGCCTAACAAAGAGCCAACGTCAAAGCTTCTATTCTGGCCGATCGATGAATTGATAGCTGGTTTCCCTTTGGGAAACAAATAGCCAATCCCGACCGAATTCGAGTTCCTTCCCTAGATCATGCAAATGCAGATGCAGATGCAATGTTCCACCACCACCACCTCATAAAGGAGTGCAATTAACTTCATCCGAAGCGCGAAAGAAATGAATTTCACTACAAAAATGCAACTGTTTCCTCAAAGAAGCCAAAGGGCTTGTTTAAGCACTAATCTATGCAGAGGAAATTGTCGGCACAAGTACCGATTTATAACACTTGGCTTTATATTTACAGCTGCGCTTGCGTGGTTGCATCGGGGGCACATGAAAGCAGGACGATCTGGACTTTTTCGATCGATATAGCATGGATCACGATCCGCGTTAGATGAACCGTTCCTCACATGATTACTTCGGGGACTTGATGGGGTGAACTTGCTGAGATAAAGGGGAAGAGTGGAAGAAGAGACAAATGGCTGATACGTCGTCCGTTGCAATTCCACGCCTCTTACGTTTCCATGCACGGACAGCACACTCAACTAAGCGTTTAGCAGACTTACTCCTGTCTGGCGTTGAGGATACAATTTCCACTGCTTCTTGATTGGATACAACATCCCACACCTGACAGACAGGACAAAAAAAAGAGCAACATAAGAAGCGATCGCTATTCAGTGATACTTCATAATGCGAAATAATATCTAACTGCCCGTGCAAACAAAAGGGTTGATGAAGGTCATATGATAAAAATAATCAACAAGGACGCTCTTTAGGAGAAGTGACATCATCTCCCCTACTCTCGCAGGAGGATTCTTACTCCTCTGCTTGTCATGATAATATGCTAGGTGAGAAAGTTTGGTTGCACGGCTTTTGAAATTGGGTTAGCCAAGCGGAGTGCTTGAAACTTGTGTGACTAACAATTTGAATTGACTGGCCCAAATCGAACTTTTGTCAGGAGTAGCGTTACTGTCTAGAAAACTAGAAAACCTCTATTGCCAAGGCACATATTATACCCCACTGCATGCATGCTACTGTTCGACAATATCGATTTAAAAACTTAACATAGGTAAGTCAGGGCAAACTGGAATATGCATTTTCTGAAAAGCTAAGCTTTTTAGTTTCTTCTTTTTGCCCCCTCCTTTAAGAGCTCAAACTACTCGCAGCAGACAACATACCCCATCAGTTGCCAGCACGACAAACTGGTCTCTGCTGGTTACGTTTCTCTGTGTCACTTCAGGCACAGATATAAGTCCAAAATCTTTCACGCAGTAATCTCCAAAGGCTCTAGACATTGCAAGTCCAGGTGATTCATCATCTGGCAACCATACACGGTGCACTCCTGGTTCATCATCTAAACAGAATACCCTCCCATTGCATTGTGTTATCCGCTCAGCTTCCTCTGCAGCAAGATCAAGATAAGTGTGAAGATCAGAAGAGAAGCACAAACCAAGAGAGGAGTGATAGGCAAGGGGACTTACGAGGTATATTGGGTTTAAAATCAACAGTGAGCTGAACAGGAAGTAAGCTCCCATCCTCAGAAGTAGTTGCTAATACAGCTCGTGAATCACCTACATTGGCTATGATGATGCATTCCCCCTGCCAAAATATCAATTGGATTAGCTTCCACAGAATCAACGGTCCCTAAAGAAGTAGAAATGCTCAATCAACCACTCCCCTGGTGGGCCAATCACCAATCTTTGCACAGCAAAATGGTTGTTCAACTGTTTTCTCTTATATGGTGTCTTCACTTGTACATAAAGAAATCTATTGATGGAGTTGACCTTCCATGTCATGAATATATTCAAATGTCTCATTTAGTCCAAATTCGAAGTTACGGTTGCCGAGAACAAAGTCCACTATACATCTGAATTGCCTAGAAAGCTAGCCATCTTCATATTGCCTCTCGCAAGTCTATCGTATTATCAGTTCTTATTTTGCAACCTAAACAAACTAGATCCAATAAACTTATAGCATGTGCTAACCGCAGCAGAAAAGAACTATCGCATAACCATGACAGCAGATTCATGAACGCACGCCAAACAGAGCCTACGTAAAGCAATGAAAAATTGAGGTGTTCTTCCTAATACCTGTCTGACAATAGTCAAAGCAGTGGTCCCGCTGTAGAATGAATCAATCTTTCGAAGCTGCCCGAGCTCGTTATCAATGGCGGCACAAGTCTTCAAGTAGGAACTTTTCCATATATTAAAACGATGACACTTCTTATCTGATTCCAAGTCAAGATCTGGATCTAGGGAAGCCTGAGCAAGAGTCTCCTGCCAATTGCACAACAAAGAGGGTGGCATCGTCTCTCTGACCCTTTTTGCCACATAATGTCCCCATGGGCCATGCCCATCAAATATCCCACAAAAGATCATATCATTTTGGCACCCAAATTCCTATCACCAAAAGCTACATCATCAGTATATACTAACTTCAATGAGAAAACCTACAATATACCAGCCATGAATAACAATCAATGGTATACAAGTGATCTTAAGCATATAAGTTCTGCTCAAAATGAAGCAAAAAAAAAGGAAACTCCAACGTAAATCAGCTCAGATTTATCTGTCTTCACAGCATGTGAGGTATTATTAACGACTTGAGACAAGAGAAAAGCTGAGCAAGTGGATATTTGATTGACTCTGAACTTCTATACACCAAAGGACGGGTTGTTTAAACATGATCTTTCAAAATAAAAGCGACCAAACGTTCCAAGCAATTGCAAAATTAGAACAATTTCTCTCCTGCAAATGACAACCACTGGCCAGTCGAATTTCATGTCATAAACAATGAATGTGACCACAATTGAATTTTCAGCTATCAGGTTTCGATGCATACCTCCCAAACAATGCAGCAATCCTGGTTCACTCCTTTTTCCCCTCTCTTAGAGAAAACCGAAGCAAAGTTTTTCGAGCCATCGACATTTACGATGCCAGATGAGCACAGTATCAAGTCATTCTTTTTGGCCTCTTTTGCCATGGCTTCCGCAGTCTCTCTACCATCACAATCCCCACTGTTCCTTCCCTTCTTAATCGAAAATGATCTTGCCAGGCCATTGAATATGGTGGATAAATGCCCCATGACCTGCACAACGAAGATCACTTAAGTCCTTCCGTGTTCCGTCATGTGTAGATTCAACACCCATACATCTTTTTATGTTGATTGCATACTCCATGTGGTTCTTAACGGAAAGAGAGGGATGAAAGAAGATTTCTTCTATTAAAAAAAGCTTCTTTTTCCGGAAAAGCTAGTCCTTTCTCGATTAATTCCCTTTTAAATATCCCCTTCCGTATTCGTCACATTCAGTCTCAAGAACCACACAGAGTATGAAAGCACATGGATTTCGACCGACCCAGTGACTAGATGAACAACACGATCTGACTCGGATAGCTGAGACTGAGCATTCAAAAGCACAAAGCTCCAAAAACTGTGAATCCAAAAGACACTGCGGAGAATATTCATGCTTACATGGAATTCCATAAACACGCGCAGACAAGGAAAACACACACAAACATTCACAGTTGGAAAAGTTCATTGAACCCAGACAAGAAAGCAATCTAAGCCGTTTAGCCTCCTTATTTTCCAAAGAGAAAGAACAAACCCACAGCAGAAAAGGAAACAGACATTCATTTCCCCGACCTTTTCCTTCTTCCCGGAGATCAATAGAGAAGTGGGGTACAGTTTCCTCTGCTTACAGGGCTTAAATTTCAGCGTGAAAAGAAAGGGATGAATTTTTGCGGTAGCCAGTGACTTCTCGAGGATTGAGTCCCACGTGAAAACTCAGTCCGACGAGAACTTTGCCTCGCTTCGTCACGACGAAGACAAAGGTCGCGAGAGAGATGATGAGATCAGCCGCTTGCTATTTCCGGCATTTCCAAAAACAGTGCTCGCCGCTCTGCTCGTCGTCTGACGAAGACGGAAAAGTCAGCAGAAACGAAAGTCAAAAACCAAAATTCACTCCTCTCGAAGCAGCAAAAGCTCAACCAAATTCTCCAGAACGCAGAGCTCCATAAAAACCAAGAGCTCAGTACAATCGCACGATTCTTCCGAGAGAGAGAGCGAGAGAGAGAGAGAGAGAAAAACACAAGATCATCCATAAAATTGCCAAAAAGAGAAATCTGTCAGAAGAAAACGAAATTGCTCCATCCGACGGACCTCCCAACAATGCCAAGCCAAAACAAAACAAAAAAAAAAAAGCGATAGCTCGACGCAACTATCTCGTCGCTGTAGCTTCGCCGTCCCCTCGCATTCCCCAGCAATTCCAGAGCAGAGATTGCCAGCGATGACTACGAAAACACAGAGAGAGAGAGAGAGAGAGAGAGAGACCCGAGTGGCCTAAAACTGGGACTTCGACGGCGGGAGTGGTCTAACGCGGCGACTTCGACGGCGGGGAATCAGGCGAGACTCAGAGAGATAGGGAGTGGCCGGAGGAGGGGGGGAAGCGGAGGAGGTAGGAGACGATCGCAGCCCATAAGCGGGAGGAGGAGGAGGAGGAGGAGGCAGACCCGCCCTTGCGTATCGCCGCCTCGCGGCCTTCTTCAAAGGGGCCGAAGAAGAAGAAGAAGAAGAAGATGATGACGGTGGCGACGGTGGTGGTGGGTGGTGCTCGTCGATCGCTTTTATGGTCGGAGAAGAGTACGAACGAAGCAGATACATGCAATCTCTGCAGCAGCAATGACGTGTCGTCGGCTACTGTTGCTGTAATTTTGTGTGGCTCTCGAGCATGAGAGAGAGAGAAGGAGATTTTTATTTTTTTTAATATAATTATTATTTCCGTTTTTTGACCTTCGTAAAAAATCGGGAATTTTTAAGGGAAAGGTAACTTTGTCTCCTTGTACAGTACTATATGGAGGAGTTGATGATGACGCATCATCATCGTTCGAATTCATCAACCACCCCATTATAATGGGGGGAAAAAAATATTTTGGAGAATATCGGTCCGAAAAGGTAATTACGGAAATTTGATATATAAATTCGACAATAAAAAGGAGACCTATCATCGCCGATATGTTTCTCGCGTCTTCGTCCGTGTAATTAACGTGTCGCGTGACCGTACAACCTGCCTCTGATATTTTTTTAGCGATATAAATTCTCGTGAGTTGCCGTCATTTTACTTCGAAGGAAAAAACATTTGGATGGCATTCGAAAGTTCAATGATTGGGCCGAGCGTGGATAGTTGCATCGTGCTTCATGAGCAAGCGAAAGCTATTTTTTTTTTATTACTTATTTTCTCTTAAGCTCGTGAAAGATTTTATAACATATCATCGCGACCGACCACACATGATTGGACGAGACTTAATTCGTAGGATCGCAAGCATCTTTTTGACAATTCCTTTTGAAAAAATGAAGCAGGATGCTTAGCTTGACATATTCCAACATAACAAGAACGGATTATATGAACAACAAGAGGTGAGGCTGGCTTATAAAAGATTTTATGTGTAATTCGGCATACCGAAGAGAACATATTATTATAATGGACGGCGCCTGATTGGATGAGACTTAATTCGTAAGATCACATGGATTTTTTTGAAAAATTTATAAAAAAAAGAAGAAGCAGGATGCTTAGCTTGACATATTCCAACATAACGAGAACGGATTATATAGACAACAGGAGGTGAGGTTAGCTTACGAAAGATTTTATGTGTAATTCGGCGTACCATAACAAACAGATTATAGTATTACGATTGACGGCGTCTGATTGGACGAGACTCAATTCACACGATCACATGGATTTATTTTTTATTAAAAAAAAAGCGGGATGCTTAGCTTGACATATTCCAACTAAGATCTCTATACCCGTTAATTTCCCTTCACACATCCCGTAATTCAGGACACGTGTCTCTTTCCCATTTAAAGATCAACAGTTGAATGTTGATACGGTTGGACCAAATTAAAATTTGATGAAACCTTAGAGACACAGACATAAAACTTACTTTAATGGTCCTTTTTCTAATGTACACGAAAGGGGTTCGCTTTCTAGCAGTTATTTGTCTGTGTTGCATATTCATAATTATATCTATCAACAGCTGACCTTTTTCTTTTTTAAATTGCTTTTAATTCCTTAAACAATCCGTTTGAAAAGCAAGAATTAAACGTCTTATCGACTGTGACCCGTGAGCCGTCCATCGGAATATATTAATATTTAGCAAAAAAAATAAAATAAGATAGAACATCATCTCGTAGATATTTTGGGATGACAATGCGTCGCACATAAATATTTATTAGATACATGATAGGAATAGCGCATGAATAATCAAGTGAATCCATTTGGTATACTCGAAATTATTGTGGATCAATCAATGAATGTGTACGGCACGCGGTTCTTGTTTTTGTTTTTCTTTTGGAGGGGGGGGAGGGGAGGTGGTGGTTACTACCTTAAAAAATTCAACATTGGTACCTCATGACACGTTTATTTTAAGTTAATTTTCGTCTCACGAAAAATTTTAAACTTGTATAATCATGCTATATCTACCCCAAATTAATTATCTCGCGAAAAAATCCAAACTGTTACCCCTAATTCAAATTCACTTTCTGTTAGCATCTTACACAATATCCCATTAAAAGCCGCATGTGTTAATACGCGTGGTGGGCGACTACAAGATGCATATGATATGGAGAATGAGAGATTCGATGTGGAAAATCCATAAGTGTTAGTACATATGCAATTCAAGGGAGGGCAGATTTAGGTCGGTAGTATCGGTTTGGATTTTCTGTGAGATGAAATTCAATTTACGATGAATGTTTCATAAAGGCACAGGTTTGAGATTTTTTGTAAGATCAAAACTTAGTTACAAATATATGTGTCATGAGGTTTCGATTCAAAATTTTTTACGAGACGAATGGGATAAATATGCCATGGAGGTACCGTTTTAAAATTTTCAACAACATTAACCCTTTTTTGGCTCAATTTCTGTTTTTTTTCCCCCATGAAGTTAGGTCGATTCCCGTGAGCTTGTAAAACATACGCGTGATATAAATGACAATAGCAATACAATACATGGCCATGGCAATCGTTTCTCCTTAATTATAATACGTCAAAAACGGAACCATATATTATATCACTTCGAGGCCTTATCTTCTACTTTATAAAATTCAATGGAACCCTCTTGTCGAGCTCGCGTGGCATCTCGTGATTGGCTCGCGACGTTCCCACCGGGCCAATCGGCGACTATATAATTCGATGTATCATTATACCAAATTAAGGAAACAACGACCGTATGATTATAATACACGGAAGATTAATAAGTCTTGGGGGATAATTATGGAGTTATGATTGCGAGACGGAATTAAAATAAAGTTTGGGTCGGTCCACAAAAGGAGGCGCGTGCTTAAGTGGACAATCATGAACATGTATTTTCTTTTTCGTTTTTATTTAAGTTGTGAATGATCGTCATTAACATGCAAAGTCTGCACATTATTTACATGTGCTTCTCGATTTTTCCAATTGGTGAGACGGTCACGTTGGACATTCCGCCAATCGATGTGCATCTCGAAGTTCGACAACGACTGGTAAAAGTTGTTCATCCATACCTTATTAAGAAGTATATATATTATGTTTGAAAATGTGTAGATGTCAATGGGTGTGCTGTGTCGTACGTCCAAGTGTCTATTATGTGCTGCCCAATGACCCCAAAAAAAATATGTGCTGCCCGTGCAATGTAAGGTGTGTGTACGCTAGAATCTTGATGACCTTATCACCTCGAGGTTTGAGACGAGATATTTCTAAAAAAACTTAGCAAAAAAAATAAAGGGAAAATTTCATTTTGGTACTCAAAGTGGGGCTTTTTTCTCAATTTGGTACCCAAAGTGGACATAGTCCCAAATTGGTACTCAAAGTGCCCATTCAGTCTCAATTTGGTACCCAAAATGGACATAGTCCCAAATTGATACGCCAAGTGCCCATTTAGTCTCAATTTGGTACCCAAAGTGCCCATTCATCTCAATTTGGTACGAGTTCGCCGAGGTCAAATGCTCGGGCAAGAAGAAATTTCTTGTTCTGGCTCAAAACGATATTTTTTTACTTTTTTTTAAATTTTTTTTCCCTTTTTCTGTTTTTTTTTCTTTTCCTTTTCCTTTTCTTTTTGTTTCCTTCTTCCCTCCGCCGGCCATGTGCCCATGGCCTGGCGGAGGTCGCCGGCTGTCCGGGCGAGGGCGGCCCGCCTGGGCCGGGCGAGGGTCGCCCTCGCTTGGGCCGGCCCTCCTGGCCGGCGAGGGTCGCCCTCGCTGGGTCGGCCGCCGACGCAGCGAGGGCGACCTCGCCACCTGTGCGAGGGCCGCCTCGCCGACGCCGGCGAGGGTGACCCTCGCAGATCCGGCGAGGGCAACCTCGCCCTCGCCGGATCTAGGTAGGGTCGGCCCTCGCCCGACACTGCGAGGGCCGCCCCTCGCCCGACACAGCGAGGGCCGCCCCGCCCGACGCCGGAGGGTGACCCTCGCCAGATCCGTCGAGGGCGAGGCCGACCCAAGCGAGGGTGGCCCTCGCCTCGACGCCGGGCGAGGGCGACCCTCGCCGCCCAGTGAGGGCCGCTCGCCCGACGCCGGCGAGGGCCGACGCCGGCGACCTCCGCCGGCCATGGCTGTGGCCGGCGGAGGGAAGAAGGAAACAAAAAAGAAAAGGAAAAGGAAAAGAAAAAAAAACAGAAAAAGGGAAAAAAAATAAAAAAAAAAGTAAAAAAAATACTGTTCCGGTAGCCGGAACAGTAAATTTCTTGCCAGCCGGCGAGCATTTGACCGTCCGGCGAACTCAGGTACCAAATTGAGACTGAATGGGCACTTTGGGTACCAAATTGAGACTAAATGGGCACTTTGGGTACCAATTTGGGACTATGTTCACTTTGGGTATCAAATTGAGACTGAATGGGCACTTTGGGTACCAAATTGAGACTATGTTCACTTTGGGTACCAAATTGAGACTGAATGGGCACTTTGGGTACCAAATTGAGACTGAATGGGCACTTTGGGTACCAATTTGGGACTATGTCCACTTTGGGTACCAAATTGAGAAAAAGGCCTCACTTTGGGTACCAAAATGAAATTTTCCCAAAAATAAAGGAAGAGAAAGAATTGTGAAAGTTCAGCTTTTTTTTCTTTAGTGGATCAAAACAACTTCCTCCTCTTTTTTTTTTTTGTTAAGTATTTTTAGCAATATCTTGTCTCAAACCTCTAGGTCATCATTATATATTTTAGGGATAATGATATAAATAATCCATGAACTATGGTCTAATATACAATGTGATCTTTTAACTTTTAATTTGTTTAATGTAGTACCCGAACTTTAGCCTAATGTTCAATTTGGTCCATGGGCTTTTAATTTGTTCAACGTGATTCTCAGACTTTTGATACATGTTCATTGTAGTCTCTGAACTATGTCGTCATTGAACATTTTCACATAATTTATGGATTAAATTGAACATGTATCAACAATTTATGGACGATATTGAATAAATTAAAAGTTATACATTGAGTTAAAGTTCAGGAACTACATTGAACAAATTTAAAGTTCATGGATCACATTATACATTGGGTAAAAGTTTAGGGGCTGTTTGTGTTATTTTTTTATTTTTTTTTATGGACATTATTAATAGGATGCGACGATCCACTAAAGAAAAAGAGCCGAACTAGTGAACTGCTCATCATAGCCACCATTTACCATATACAATTGCAATTTGCTGCATCATGGACTCAATAGTGATGCGGAAATTTGACTAATCGAGACCCACCTTTTGCTTTGTGGAGGTTGTTGGTGCCGAGATCCACGGCTATGCTGCTTTAAGCAAGGCCTATAGTGCATGGGCATCGAATGAGAGCTTAGTTGAGAGCAAATTATTAATAGCCGAAACGGCGGAGGAACCGAACATGGTCGCCTAGTTGCTATCATAAGGGTCCCGCACCCACCCGCTACAGAAATCTTTGTAATCAGGTAGCGTAGCACGAATTTGCTCGGACGTTTGCTCACGACATGAATCGAGCCGTGACCTCGTGAAAGGCGGGCCGATTCCTTTACCACCGGACCAACCGCCTCGGCGATTGATCGGCCCGGGACCAAATTAAGAAAGAAAACCCCCAAAAAAAAAAATCAAGTAGGTGGGGCCGAGTCAAGTCAAGAGGCTCATGATCACCTGGTGGTGGTCCCTGAAGTCCACCTGGATTATGGTGCGGATTCCGACATGCGCATCATCTGTACTACACGAAGCTAAGCCCCAGCTATTTTGGGGCCCGGAAATAGTTTTTTCTATGCATTCTTTTCACGAGGCTTATCAAAAGCTGTCGGTACAAACAGTAATCTTGACCTTTGTAAAACCAAGGAAATGCGGTGGCGATCATGACTTTCTTCTACGTTTAACGTTGCCCTCTTACCTGACGTAAACTAGTGCGGAATGCTCGAAGAGACACTTGTGCGTGTCGTTTGCCGAAGAAACGAACTAAAAAAGAGCAGAATACGTCGCATGAGCCTTACCTTGGAGGGAGAAACAGGCATTTGCGAATGCGAATCCACGGCTCGAACCGGAACATCGTCAGTTTGCTTGGCGACGCGCATGCGACTCGAAATAGAGGGGATCGATTTCCGGTACGGTCCGATCCCACCCAGGAACGGGTCGGTCCTGTCCGGTTCCCGAGCAATCCAATGGGAGATGAAAATTAAAACAAAATGCAACCCCTCGCACACCCAAACTGCTCTTTTCCGGCAATAAGTGCATGAATTTGACCACGTCATGAACCCATTATGATACTAATTGGGTGATTTTGTATTCCCTTTGATAGTTTATAGAATATTCGTAGCGGTTAATTCTATGAGCGGCTCAACGACGTAGCTACGAGCAGGACACGTGAGAAGCGAAGGGAAAGAAATTTGCGTGAGAAATAAAAAAAACATCGGTCCGGTCCGGTTCGCCTCAGGAACCGAGACCAAATCGAAAATCGCCGGTTCCAATTTCATGGAACTAGGAAACCGGACCGACTCTCTCGGGAACCGCCCAATCTTAATTCGGTCGGTCCGTGTTGCTCACTCCTAACTCGCGAGGTCTGGACGGGTCGAGCTCAAATCGGGGATCGGGTCGCGACCGGGCATCGAGAAGGGGGGGGCCCGACTCGCCCCCGCGGTGCGATCACGCCGAGCAAGGTGTCGTCAACATCCAGCGGGCCGGAGTCGCAGCTTTTTTCAACGCGAGTGAGCAGCACCATTCAAAGTGACTCGGAATCGGCACGCACGCGCACCGTGCTCCGTGTGCCGAGTGCGTCTCCCAGGTCGCACGTTGTTCACGAATCCCATCCCCCAAAAGAATCTAGTAATTTCCGAAAACAAAATTAAACAAGTGGAGCAGCGAAAACGACGTCGAGAGAGAGAGAGAAAGGACCCGAAGGTCAAGGACCAAACCACGGCCGCACGATGGTCGCCGGGTCGGTGCGAGAGGGGGCCCCCCCCCCGTCGCCCCGTCGTCGGATGGGGCCCCGGAGCCGGTAGCAAGGTCAAAAGCGAGAGGCCAACGGGAAGTCCGACACGTGGTGCTGGCCAGCAATCCCATGTGGGGCGGTGCACGGGAAGGTGGGGACAGCATCGAGGACTTCGATCAGAGAGGCGAAACCAAATGAAACGTGCGTGGAATCTCTGTGTGATCGCGACGAAAGTTGCAGAGGATTTAGCGCGTGCGCAAAGCGAGCTGCCGACAGTAATTCCCTTAGACACCCTCGTCGCGGCGGTTGGACCTGATTAGAAGGACTGGCGAGATCGCGCGGCCGATCCCGCCTACATTGGGTTGGGTCGTGTAGAAAATCGGATTTAGGTAAAGTGGGTTGTGTAGGTTCGTGCGACTCTAGGCGCTCGCGCCCTTGATTCGCAAAATCGGGTTTAAAGGGGGTTCGTTCGCGATCCACGGCCCCCCACCGTCATAGATTCGAACGAATATTATTCCCCTTGCCACATGCCACGGCAAACCAAAGATTAAAGGTTCATTCGCAATTTCCACATGGTAAATCACAGTATCGGAAAGTGATTCGACTCTAGGGTATGTTTATTTGAATGGAAAAAATTTCAGGGAATTAAGTTTTTCTGAACTTCCGAATGTTTAGTTCGTGGAAAATGATAAGTAAACGGAAATCCATTTAAAATTGAAGAAAATATGGATACTTAAAAGTTAGGGTAATGAATTTCCCGACCTGTAAAAGGAGAAAACGTTTTCCCGAAAAATGATCTTTCAAAAAGCATTTTTATTTATATTTTTCCGAAACAAACACACCCACCGTATATCAAAGAGAGTGCATTGGATGCAAGGCATATATGCTTGGTCTTACTGTTCTGATGCTTTTGTCCTTCGCTTTCAGGCCATCTATACACGGCGAGGTCATCACCATCAGACGGGGAAAGCAGGGAAACTCTCAGGCCATTTTACACGATTTCAATGTGGCAACAATAAGAACGAACACGGAACACCCCGTGCTCAACACCAAAATTCACTTCCAGCTTCCATCACCTAACAAAATATTAATCGGTCCACGCGGGCATAATCCCAGCCACCGTCGCTGTCGTTGACGCCGAGGGGTTGAGAAGAAAACGGTCCGCCGGTTCAAAAACCCTCCAGTTGTTTGACCTTTGTAACTTTCCTAAATGAACTTCCGAAGATCCTCTCTTGGCAAAAAACGCATGTCAAGTCGATTGATACCTCGTGCGTTCGGCCTGAAACTGTCTAACGAGCTGCAAGGACTGGTAGTAGAGGTTAAGGTCGAGGCCATCGACATTTCTACCCACTCGAGCCCGCAACACCGCCTGAAGAGCAAGAACACTTTCGTAAACCAAATGGTAAATACCACCACGCACAATGCACGTTGCCCTCGCTCTCTCTCACCCATTTGCCGGCAAAACTCAAATCTCAACCATGAAAGTTCTCACCTCATTATCAGGTTGAACCTGGAGTTCGCCGATAAACTGGTAGATCGAGCCAACACGAAAATGAAGGTCCCTCAGATGCTGCGTGTCTATCTTCAGACTAGCACCTGCATCAACGATAATCGCTACGGTCGTCTCCACTGAATACTCTTGTAACCTAAAGTGAAAAGCGGATATCAGTCCCTGGAAACCATGGCATTCTGAAAGGAGAAACTGATTTAACAATAGAAAGCGAAAGACATGCACGGCAAACAATCCAATCGACAATGTTCAGATGATTCTCCGGTAGGAACTACCAACAAAGGGAGGAAAAACAAAAGGACAACTCATCCAAACGCTTTTGCCCCGACCTCGCATCTGTCGGCCTTTCCGATTCCTAAACGGTCGGGGCAAAGGCGATTGCTTCATCCCAAGTTCAAAATAAGGATCGTTTGCCGCGGAAACGGAAATTCACTCAACCCAATATCAGCCACATTGACAAGTAATCTAGACAGAATCATCACCTAGGAAAATGTCTGATCCAAGTTCATTACAGGCCCTGCCCTGCCATGTGCCGCGCAGCATCAGTCTTAAACTCCTCATGAAACCCAACACAGTTTCAGTTTCACAAACAATGGAATGTTGATGATAAAGTCGTAACTCTAGTCTAGTCCTAGAGGTATACGAGAGCTGTCACTCCGGAGCTCGGCTTCGCAGCCACGCTACGCAAACCCTAGCTCCTACAAGCTCCATTTCGAGATTCTAAAATCCCTCGGAATTCCTCGCGCCAATAACCCCTCGCGAAAGCGCAAACCAGGCAGCAAATGGAAAATGAAATGGCGGGCAGATCGACGAGAATCAGGGGGGGAGGGAGAAAGCACAGGGGCACAGATTCAACAGATCAATTCAACGGCATTGCGAAGATGGAGGAGGAGGAAGGAAGGACGTGACAGCGTACTTGCCGAGGACGCGAAGAGAAGCCCCGTCGGCGAAGAGCGGAGACGGTGGGCGGAGCTCCTCCAGCGGAACCGGAGCTCCGGATCCGACGGCGGGGCCCGAGGACGCCATCTTCGCGCAGCAGAAGTGACGCTCGGCGATGGCGAGCGCGAGCGCGAGGTTGCGACGGTGACAACCCAAAAACGATTCCCCGTTTGCTCTTCGCGGGCTGCCGCGACTGGGCTCTTGCCCACCACCAGTCAGCCCATGGGCCGTAGCTAGCCCTCATTATTGGGCCCCTCAAAAAATTAAACAAATTAAAAGTCCAGGGCCACGTTGAACAAATTAAAGTTGAGGGACAATATTTTACGTTGGGTAAAAGTTTAGAAAAGTTCATGGACTATTTGTGTCTTTATCCTCTCCAGCTATGACACCGAACGGTGATCGCTTTGCAAGGGCGAGCGCGAGATGGCGACGATGGCACCCAGATGATTCCCCGTTTGCTCTTCGAGGGCGGCAGCCGCAGCTGGGCTCTTGGCCCACCATCAATCATCCCCATAGCCCTCGTGACTGGGCCTCTCTCTCTCGCGTTATGTCACTGAGATGAAGATCTGAGAACAGAACTGAGAAGGACAGAAAGTAGTTTTCATCACTGCTGATTGTGTATACTTACGCAGCAATGGCAATCTCATGTTCATACAAACACACTTCCTGTACATATTATCAAAAAAATTGCATAGATTAATTTGCTTGCTATTTGTACAGACTTTGAATCACAGCCAATGCGGCATTTGGTTAGACTCGTCGACTCGACTCCCATGTTAGCGTTCCTCCCTCCAATTATTGCTTTTGTAATTACTATACAATTTCTTGGACCTACTATAATGATCTAACTTTTTTGAGTATGTATGAATACGAATGTTTTCTCTCCTACAACTGCTACCGTATTTGTTGCTTAATGAAATACTTGCGGCGATGCGTAGAACTCGCCCTCTATCAGCATCGGCCTCAGATCTTCTTGGTTCATGAACTCCAGTGGGAAGGTCACGAGATGCCCCCTGACCAATCTCAGTCTCTCCATTGGGTCCGTCTCTTTGGCGTCTTCGTCGTCGGTGCTCTCCAGCTTCTCGGGTGCGATTCCTAGATCGATAGTGGTGTGCCCGATCTTGTCTTTCCAGTGGGCCATGTTGTGTCTCAATGATGCTCTGCGGCATGGTTAACGTTAGACGAATGAGAGCTTGACTTAAGGAGCAAGGAGTGAGGAGAAGGCTCGGCTGCACCATACCTTGACTGGATGTTGTCATTAGGGATGCAAGCAAACACGTCATGGTAAATTTTGGAGTTCGCCTGCAGAAGGATGATACAATCAATTCATTGCAAAGTCCTACGTAGACCAGCAACCAGATGTTTTGTTCAAACTTGCCGTACCTTTGCAGTTGCCGACCACAAGTCCCTGTACGTTGCATCGGCAATGGGATCCTTTATTTGGTGGATCTGCAAGGATTGTATGCCGGAAGTCACCATTAGATATATGGTCTTGGCATTTGAGGATTTAGACAAAATGATGGTAACTGAGTAAAAACATTGCGATATATTGTATGGAGCATCGAGAGAGTCTTAATCGTGTGATTGGGTCACAAACCTCTCCAGGATGAAGTCCTAAGTGTTCCGACCATAGCGAACACCTGAGACTGTGAGAAAACTTTCCCGCCTTCCACGGCTCTCCATTAATAGATGACTCCACAAACTCCTTATCTTCAATTATTACCCCAATCTGAGAAGAGCAGCATCATTAGTCTCGGTGCAGAGCAAGATGAAAGAAGCGCTGAAGAATCTAAAGAGCAACGAATTGGAGAACTTGAAGAGTGACATAGAGCTAGCTCATTACCTCGGAGTCTCTTGATCCTAGTAAACTCCTATCATTGATATTTGAGGATCCAATAAAGGACACCCGATCATCTATAATCATGACTTTACTGTGCACATACACCTGTAACAAATGATCCAAAAGAACATTCTTAAACAATTTAACTTCATCCTGTCTGACAAATTGAAATTCTACGAAGTTTTGGCTAATGGTTTTTTTTTTCGAGCCAATTGGCTAATGATTAAGAACATATACTTAACAATATCTTCAAGATAATAGTGACACTCAAAACTCATTCTCATGGAACAAACTGCTATATCAAGTAACACCGCCTTCTATTGGACGGCAACACCCTCTCTGAACTAGCTATCATCTACCTAACATGCCACTGCTTGTTTGTACGAGGACAATAAGTTAATGGCCATTAAGCGTGGCCAACAGAATAATTAGTGGGAGAAATAAGAACTAGAGCTCATAATGGATATAAGCAAGAAGCTCCGAATAGATACCTGACTTGTTGCCACGGGGCCCCGATCAGAGAGTCTACCATAAGATCGTAGACCATAGAAGGAAATATAGTCTTCTGTCTTATCACCAAGCGCTTCTTTGAGATTGTGCAATATTGAGGTCTTTCCTCTGCTAATGGTTCGATATTGCCAATGCATAATTGCTCTAACTGTAGCTGCTCCACCATCATCAATGCCTCCCTGTTATTGAGTGTCATGTCAAGTAACTCTCATGTCATATTGATCAGAGAACTAACTGAATAATAAGTACCTGAAATCCAGGTAAAAGAGGTAGGACAATGATAACACGGAAACTGTTTTTCTCTTTGTGTGCTTGCAAAATGCGCTTGTATAAAGCATCAAGAACACGATTCTGTATAGTCTCATCCCTTGCAAGACCTGATATGAAGAATTGATTCTGGAAGCAAGCAAGAAGCCATCAATAAGAGTTGCCATTTTTCCATTAAAAGAGCAAAATTAAGTTGCACATATCCATTGAAAGAAAGAATCTCAATCTTCAAGAAATAAAATGACATTATTGTTGAGACCACCTCCCTGGGTTAAACAATTCATTTTGTTGCACAGTCTGAAGTTTGTTTTGGCCATTTTTTGTAGAAATGTTCTAATTGTCTGTCCGTTTCATCTCCCGGGCTAACTAAAGTCTGTTTTGCTTGGGCTCCTTACTGTCAGCTAAAGCCATAAACCAGCAGCGTTTATTTTTCTGGTTGGTTGTCTCTTTCAAAATCTCTAAAAGACGAAACTTGGCATGTAAAAGAGGATGTCCCACTCCAGGCTAGGTGCAGCTTCAGAGTGCACAATGTAAAATACACGATTCAACCAATGGTTAATGGACATGGAATTGTCATCACATGTTTCAATAAACCCACAAATATATCTGTCGAAAGACTCAGAAAAGCACCTTCCCTCCATGCCTATCTTAGCAGCATAATTTGGTTCTTTACATGGCAAAAGAATTCGATATAGTGGTAGTAGTTGCAAGTGATTCCAAGATCATTTTGAAGAAGAATATGTAGTATCCTTCTTCTTCTTTTTTTATCCAGAAGAACAATATGTAGTTCAAATGGTCTATTTTGCAATAGATGAATGAAGAAAATAAGCCCATACAACGGGAGATCACAAGTATATCCATTGCGGATCCTGTAGATGCCATCAAATCATAGAAGATAATCAGTTACTTTATGATCGTTACCTCTACATAAACAAAGTGCTCCGCTTTCTCTATAAGAGAACAACAAGCCTTGTGAATACTCTCTTCTGTTTGGCTTGTTCCCGCTGACCACTGGCTTGCACTCCTGACAACCTACATATGGCAGAGTTTCCTTGTAGAACTTTTAGCCTCATGCCTAAAACTCGGACAATAACCAACATTCTGGAATTTCAAAAGGTCAATCATGAATATCTACCTGACATCGACAAGTGACGCGTGGACCGACTTGTCCATCTCCAGTTGCCACATCATCGTCACCCTCATCTGAAGTCTCCCGCTGCTCATCCACAAGTATCGTGCTAAATTGTGCAACCTCGGGCAGATTTTCTCTTTCACATTCGAGGCAATCAACTTCATCAACAAAACCTTTCATCTGAGTATCCTTAACAGAATCGTCAGCTTTGGACTTCAGGAAAGTAAGTAAAAGACTTTCGCAAGCAACGGATGGTTTGACATGATGATTCCGGTGTGCATGGGGGCCATTTGGCTTATGGTCAAGATCAAAACTGCTTTGCTGATCAGCTTCTTGTGGTAGAAGTAACGGGATATCATCCAGTGGTGACTCTGAGGAAAAGGAGTTACGCCTGCTATGGCCGTGGTGGTTTTCTTCTGCATTTGTACTTTTGATGCTGATCTCGCTGCTTCTTCCCATATAATGAGGGAGGACCATATAGTGGCGAGGAATGAGTAAAGGGATTGTTTGCTCATTTGGAGCTTTGTTTCTCTGGAAAATGGATAGGTGATTTAATCATATGATATCTTCATGAAGTGAGTGACATAAAGTTGAGTGAAAGTATCAAGGTACCTTGGCATGGTTCCAGCGCTGGACAAAATGCCTAGCAACATCTCGGCAAGGTGGTCCCCAGAGAGCGCAATGTACATCATGCCATGGCATGCGGGGATATTTTTCTCGCTCCAGCTCATCCATCATTGTGTCTTCCCAGGAATTTGGTTCAGATTCTCTAGCCAGACATCAGTAGAGTACTACCATTAGATAGGCATACGGGAAGACACGAGGATAAACTTATTTATGTTAGGTTCTTATCATGAATTTCTGATTGATTCATCTATTGCTTTATTTAAGCAATCGCAATTTGAACATATTTCATACAGTAATTTTATTTCAACCAATAAAAAAAGAAAAAAGAAAACTGGGTACCTGGGATTGTAATAATCCTTTCCAGGCCATATAGAAGGAGGGCAATCGCCCACTTTATGATCAATGGTGTCAAAACGGCCAAAGCATAGATCTAGTCCTCCAAGAAAGCAGATTTGGTAGTCGACAATGACAAGTTTTTCATGGTGTGACCTGACCGGACAAGATTCTTCATTATCTGTTTGGACTGCATCTATATCAGGATGAGCTAAATACAATTGCTTACCATAGATAAACTCCAGTAGACAAGTGATCAGGATATCGCAGCACCTTCACATTCTCATGGATGTCAAGGAGCTTCTTTTTACTATACATACTGTTGATTTTTAAAGCAATAGAAACCTCCTTGTAAAGAAGGATGTAAATCTGCAGGATCAAGAGATACAGGATTACTGGGTGGTCTATTGAGCGTAGTAACAGGTAATCTGAGAGAAGGACAACGAGCAAGGAGAAGTATCCGTTGAAGAAAAAATACTGACGAATGTATTAGTTATTTTCTATAGTTACAATAAGTCTCTATTTATATACATCAGAAACCCAGTTAGAGATAAAACCTATTTAATAGGTAGTTGGAAGCTAATAGATAGCTAATAGCAGGATGACAGCTAATACTAATTAATAGCTATGACAGCTAACTCTACAGCTGGCAAGTAACGCATTCCAACAGTGTCTGATTACATCATATAGAGGTAAGAGGCAAAGGCCTTAGATCTGGCCTCTGCTGTTTGATACGGATGGCCTACTTATTAAACCAAATGAAAGTACATGTGAAATAATTTGAGCTTATGGAATCAACATTAGCTGTAAACATGGCTTAAAAACCTAATATTCATGTGAAAGAAGAGAAAATAGAATATACAGTTGAGAACTCGCTTTGAAACTCTCTAGTCTAGCTCTTTCCCCCTATCAGTGGTGAATCTGATTATATGGACTCCCAAACACAGATTGTGGACAAAGAGGGAAAACCAAAAATTCATCTGAAAAGATTATATCACATTCAATACAATTTCGAGTTACTCTTTTGGGAATAGAGTTGAATCCATTGGAGAAGAAATACTTTATATGGAGAAATATAGTGATGTTAAAAAAATCTCACTAAAAGGTGAAGAAAAGACGAAACCACAAGAGAATGAGTTATGACAGAGGACAGGTTTTTGTGCATCTTCACCTGAACTCCTTGCTTAGCCTTTGCTTCTAGTAATGCATCAAGCCTGGAGGAAGAAAGCTTATCAAAAGGACGTCTCAGATACAATTCAGGGCAAAGCCACCACCCAGTAATGAATATCTGCGAATAGGTAACTCATCATTTCAGCATAAGATGATGAAAATTCTAATCTGTTACAAGTATAGATGAAATGAACAACCTCAAATTTAGCATCTTCTATTGCAGAAGCAACTGCTCCAAAAGCTGCCTCCCCATCTATAAACCACTGAGCCTGACTCCCATCTTCATTCAGACCCCTAGGAGGAGCGAAGGAACCATAGCGATGGGGATGACACCAACCTTCTGGAGGCTTTAGAGCAGCATCACTAATGGCAGAAATCCAATCTCTGACTTTACCGGGACTCGTTGTCCGCAAGTTTATGGAGCGATTCCCACATGAAACCTTTTGATGTTCCAAAACTCTTGTAAATATAATATATAATTGCCAGAAAATAATAACAAAATAACAAATGTCTACAGGAACCGCTTTATGTAATTGTGAAGCCCAAAAATCACTTGTGTCATTATTAGGAGATGTAGAAAACTGACAACAATGATACAATGGCAACCCTCTAGATGCAATTAACCTGCCCATAATATGAGTGTCACTGCAACAGAAAAATCTCCAATACTAAAACTAGTGAAATAAGTAGAAGTAAAATTATCCATCTGGTAGATACGTGTTCTTAGTTTCATCAATGCCGCTAGTTGAGAATTTACTCAAGCAGAATGACAATTTGATAATATCTAACATCTTTCTGCATTCATTTATTAACTGCCTCCATCTAGAAGTTACCGAATCTTGGATTGGTAAAGGTATTGTATTTATGGTCTTGTTTGAATACTAAATATGGAGCTTGAAACTGGAAAAATGGACAGTAAACTTCCGCCAAACTAATTTATAATGCCATAGCCCATACATAATTGCTGGTTTGAGCTTCTTAACTAATTTCACAGTGCCATATACATGTACATGTATCCGAGCACGCAATCTCTCTCCCCCTCTCTCTCACTCACTCACTCACATGCATGCACGAGCACGAAAACAAAGAAGTCTGGAATAATAATTTCTTGGCCTGCTAGTGTCCTTCCAGGGCCAGATTTCCACAAACAAAGAAAGCTGCAAATTCTCACTTTACCTTGAAACCATAGTATAGAGGATTTCGTTCCTTTGTCTGATCAGTCAAGGATAACCGAGAACTTCCTTTTGTATCAGAACTTTCCTTTCCTCGCAAGACCGGTAGTACATCAAAGACAAGTATATCCAAGGGTTCCGTGTCAAGTGGATCTTCCAGAAATGCCAAAAATCCAGGTTTTAGAACAGCCCACACCTATGACAATCAGATGACACAATGATTTCACATAAAGTATGCAAAAAGAGAGTGAAATAGTCTAATTGCATGGACGACAGCATGTAAGGCATAAAAATGTATACCTAAATATCACAAGAGCTCCAAATTGCCCAAGTCCATGAGCAATATATATTGATAATTGAATAAATTAGATTAATGGCGCATCTGAATGTTGACCTTTGCATCAAATTTTTGTTGGTAATCTTCTGCTTTCTTATCGCATGGGTATTTTGTGGAGGCTGATGGTAAATCAGGAATTCGGGACACAACTACAAGGCAAATATATTTAAAAATTCAACTTATATTTATCGGGAAAAGAATGTATACGAATAAGATTTCACAAAATAGAAGGCGACACCAAATCAGAACATAAGGCAACTTTAAGTGTTGTTTCTATTCTGTGAGCTAAGATGCTTAACCATAACATCAGAAACTTATAGTTTAGTTGTAATCAAGCTAAGGTCACGGACATTTTGAAGGTCTAGTAAGTGTTGAATAGTTCCAGAAATAACCACACTTCACAAATAAATAAAAAGATCAATCTGAGTGATCATCTCGAAGACAAAACTGAACCATCTAATTTCAAGTTTAAGGAATTAAATACCTTTTGCCAGCTGTTGCTGCAACAGCCAAACCACTGACAAGGCCAACAACTTATTTCTCTATTGTCCTTTGAGAGTTGTGGTAAATGCTTCACCATTACATAACCTTCTTTCAACTTTGGACCATACTCCGACGAAAATGACAACTTAGAGACCTCCAAAAATTTGCAAACCTGAAAAACATTGGAAAAGCATGAAGCAATATATGGTAGAAAGAGTCCATACAATGCAGGAGGGCAGACTTTTCAGCTTTTATTTTGGTTACATAGTATTATTATCTTTGAAAAAACTAAATGTTAAATAAGTTCATATCTATGCTAAATAAGATTTGTGTAAGAAGATATTTTGGGAAACAAAAATGAAGAGCTTCCCGATGCAATATGAGAAAATTAGAGAGTTGTAGACATCCACACTAAACAATGCCAATTCTTCTCGACCATGCCGACTCAAGCAATGTATGCATTGCAGAAGGAAAGGAAATAGAAAGAACAATTATATATTGGCGTTCAGTAATACAACTGTGGGCATGGTAATGTGCTCACCTCTCGAGAATTTACGATATCCAAGTTCCCCAGAAAGTGGTTCAAATAATTCTGCATGGCCACCTTTGCAGTGTCTGAAACTGTCTGCTGCCTCCCCAGTGATGGGCGTATGATGGGCAAAACAGCTTTTGATGGAACATTCCTATGTAACAAGCTATGTTGTAAGGACTAAGATATCCAATGTAAGGGAATGGTGATAAGATGAAAGGAGCAGGATGGCTCACCTTGCTTTAGACCTCTCTTCAGTATTTAGAGGTACAGCTCCATCATCGGGTTCATCAACATCTGGCACCACAGCCATCTGGTCTACGATGCCTAAGCTTTGAAGCCATTCTTTAACCTTGCAAAAAATTCCTCCAATTAGAACTTTTGACGGTTCAAAAGGGTGATAATAAGCCTTGGACATAATCTAACAAAACAGAACAAAAGATCAGGGGAAATAGAAAATGACTAATGATGTAACTGAGCACCTGTTCTTGCTTCTCATAAAATTCCTCAATAAGGGCACGCTTCTTCAGAGCGAAATGTAGGTAGAGAACTTGTGAAGCTTTCTTCCATAAATGCCACTTAAACTGCAAGGACAATTTTGAATCAAACTGGGCATAGTTCTCTCAAGCATCATAAATGGCTCATGTATCATTAATTAAGTAACAGAATCTTAAAAATTTCTCCTTCAACAGTCTGCATCCAACTGTTATAATAAAGAAGATGGCGGTCTTTACAAATCAATTTTCATTTCTCGGGCGGGCATCCACTTTTGGCAACTATACACACATCTTTTCATCACTCCAATGCTGCATTCCTCAAGCTCTCAATTCTCATTCCTAAATTCTACAAGTTAGCAAAGTCGCACGAATTAAATGCGTGAATTACTTCAAGCTGTTACGTTCGCCAAAACACATGCATCCGAATAAATCGAACTTTGGTAGAGGACACATGCAAAGATTGCAAAATCTATAAACACCATTTCGATGAATAAGGTACAGAAAAATTAAATTAGCATCTTCACCAATGTTTACATAGTTAGACCTAACTTAATCCCAAAGGAAATACATCATGGACGCAAACAGCTGAAACCCAACACGCATCAAATGTCATCGTTCTTTCATATTTTCCCAAAAGAGTTAAAGCCGGCAAATCTCAACATGACCTCCTCCTCCACATTCCCCAAAAAACCAAGAATCGCAAACGAGAAGGGTGTGTCCATACGAAAGCTCAACCGCTTACGAAACAGAGCCGTTATCGGATTCCCACTTCACGACATCAACAAGAACCGACGAGAAGGATCACCTGTCTGTACTGCAATTCGATGGTGTAGGAGAGGAGCATGGGGCTGAACTCGCCGGTCTCCGGCCGCGACACGGAGACGATGGTGGCCGCGGGGAGCTCGTCGAAAATCCAGTCCGATTCGAGGCACTGCCGCTGCGACGCGGCCCGAGGGACCGCCCCCGCCACCGCGGCCCCCTCGTCGATGAGCCGCTCCGTCGACATGATCGAAACGAATCCCCCCCCCCACCCCACCCGATCGAGCCGCCGCCCGGTTCAGCTCCGCACGCCCTCCTCGGATCGCCGGGCGCGCGGCGGGGGACAGGGCGGGACGGCGGAGAGAGCGAGCGAGCGAGCGAGCGAGCGCGAGATCGCGTGACGTAACAACACAGAGAGGGAGGGAGAGAGAGATTTGCGGGGGAGTTGGAGTGTGAGAGAGAGAGAGAGAGAGACGGGAACGGGGGAGGTTCGGGGGAAGAGGACGTTTGGTAGTTTTTATAGTTTGCAGGGAAGAGATGGCGCTATTTTTGACAGGGCCAGAGGCTGCTTTTTGTGGGTCTGATCTGATGTCATCTGCGCTGCACAGAGAGAGAGAGAGATTCAGACAGAGGTGGGGGGTCGTTTTTTGAGACCGTTACCTGCGGTGACTTCGGACTTTGGTGAAACCATGTCCCGTTTGGACCAAAACTTATGGGAAGAAGAGCAAAATGTCGCATGCATGCAACGTGCGCCGTTCCAAACTCAAATCTTAACATCATCTCGATTCTATAATCTATTTGTTTCGTTTTGGCTACGTGGTTCTAGTTCTCGATTTCGTCCGACCATCGTTGCAACCTTGGCGATGTAGAAATCGTATCCTGAAAATGTAAGATGAACCCATGCATGGATTTGTACTTCGATTAGCCTCGGGTTTTCCCACGAGGATTTTTCGAATGGGAAGGGGGTAGTATCGTACGCAGGTAGGACGGGGTGAAATGGCGGACACGTGTCGAGACGGCAAGGGGGTAGCACGGAAAGGTCCGATCACCCGCGACAGGGCGAGACGCAACTGGAAAGTGGCGCAGTTCCGATTCCGTATATTTTATTCGCATATCGCCGAACCTCCACGCTGTCCCAAACTGACGGTCAGGCGAAAGTACGGCTCTGCCCCTACCCTTATTCCCGAATTCCCACCAAGTCACTGGGGTCTTTTGGGCAAAAAGCCCCCCCCAATGTTCCCAGACGCGTGGCCTTCCTCCCAAACGTGGGGTTTTGCTTGCAAGAAACGTACAACGTTAACTTGAGAAAACAGTTAAAGCCTGGACCACTGTCTCTGCATTTGAAGCACAAATACTGCCTGTACAAGTTCAACGGGAGGTCAAATCAAAGTAGGCCCATCAAGGTCGATTTGGCAGGGAGGGGGCTATCTCGGTCATTTCAGCCCCACCCCCCAAGCCAAATTGGGATTCCAAAGCAGCATATGCTGTTTCGGGATCAATTGGAAGAATATCCTGCCTGCTATTTTGTGCTTTGGAGCTGAGAGAATATGCTGCAAAAGCAAAATGATTGCCACCCCTTAAAATAACCAGGGACGGCTTTTGGTATTTATATTAACCAATCATTGCAGGGTCATGAATCAGCACAAGTAAGGAAGGAGAATCTGCCAAAGAACTTGGTTGGAGGATGCTTTTGTGCTTCCAGCTCCAAATGGATATAACAGGGTCTAAGACATCTGCAGCTCTCGCTCTGCCCAGCATCAGAAAGTTATCGTGGGCGGCTGCTTCGACCCGCTCGTGCGAATAAAAAACTGTTAAAAAAAGTTAATAAAAGCACGCGCACGCGGCGCTCTGAGGACAATTACCCCGGTTCCTTTGGCGAGTCTTTCGTCGAACGTCCCGGAACGGAACTCCTTTAGAGGATATGCTGCAAGGTAGAACAAGCACGATCGCTGTTATGCAGCAATGAGAAGTTTGACACGACAGGGGAATATCGACACAAACTCGATCCGAACGGAGGGGATGTTCGGTGTTTGTTCAACGTGTTACTTATCATCATCAAACTTTAGATGTAGATAAGTCGTTTAACTTTAATAATTTGACTTTTTCCAACTTGATGTTTGAGAAAAGATCGATTGGTACTCCAAAGCCAAACAAGATAAGCTTTATTGACTATGAACATTTCAACTCGTCATATCAGCAGCAAAGAAGGTCGGCCAATTTAGGTTTTCATGTGCAGGGTGCCGATGTAGCGTATATGTGACATGGACGGCTCCTTCAAAAACGACGTCACGATATGCTAAGAATATTCGGGCAATATAAGGCATCATTCTCATATTTATTATCAGAATGCCTGGCTCAATTTGGAAAGAAAGCTTTGGACATGCACGTGATCATTTCTCCAGTTTATTATCATAAACTGTCTGCTAAATAAGCTTGTCAGACTCTCCAAAGATCCAAGCTTGCGGTACTCATGACAAATAAGCAATCTCTCATTCAAATAAAAATGAGGAGAAGAACCGTGGGAGGCATGATGAATAATTAAATAAGTTGCTCTTGGAAGGACTAAGTACTCACATGAACCAGCAGAGCTGAGCGCCTAAAGATCAGATATGCAAGCTTCTAAATCGTTCTAGTTAACCCTCAGCAATGTGATATTTAAGTGGAACTCCAATCTCTGCAAAGACGGTGAACCTTGGCCAGTGAAGCCATATAATCATCTGACCTGAAACAAGCCACATATGAGTATGATATTCTGATGGAGTAGTCACAAACCAAACTGCATGAGCTATCTTCCAATCTTACTTTTCTCCATAAGGGGACTGACACGCAGCAATGATACATCGTTTAGCCCCTTCTGGCTTGTTCTGTAATGTCAAAGCATTGTCATGATTTCAGTTGCGCAAGGGAAGATAAACAGCTAGAGTGCTCAATTAGTGATTTAGCGGTGATCCAAGAAACCTCCTAAAGCAAAAGCGTGATGATATTTTCACGCAAGAGGGTCTTCCTCTAAAGGTTAGGACCAACTAATTGCATAAAGTTTCCATGGGTTGAGAGCAAACCTCAGCTTCGTAATAAAGGCCAGCATACAAAGAAGCATAGAAGTACTCACTATCCCGTCCATTCAGAAATCCAGCAACAAGCTACAACGGAAACAAATAACAACAATGAATTTTGCGAAGAAATGTTACATCCTGAAGGCATCAGGTTTGACTGCAAAAGGCATTAAGGATCACTTAATATTTTCTCGCCTGGCTTTAATTATACTTCCTGGTCCCTATTCCATCTATAAACATCCCCATTTTGCTATGAACTTATCAGCAGCAACTGGTCGTGAAGAAGTTAATTTTTCAAATTGCAACAGGGGAGTAATATGATCTTCATGTAACATGAGAAAATAACAAGCACATGAGAGCATGCGCATGTTGAAAAGATTGGAGGATGTTATTCTATTAGGAAACAGTAACAGATTACAATGTCCCCTCATTCTCCTATGAAGCTTTATAAGTTGTCTCACTGTCTTAATGTCGATAGACTGGTACTGTATTCCTGCATGAACTACGAGTTCAGTATTCACTTGGCGTCTGAACTGAGAAATGCAAGACTTAGTTTCCACATTTTTTCTTTATTTTTTAATTATCCGGTTCAGCCCACCAAGCAGGAACATTTTAGTAGTTTTAAGCATCAACTTCAACTCTGTTTCTTCGACTTCAACTGAGTCTGCATTTATTTTCAGACAGAAGCACCAGTAAGTTCCAACTTTTGTTCAGGACATTCAGTATCAGAGAAAACTATAAAGAAGATCCGGAAAGAAAGAGTGCATACACCATCCCAATAAGCAGATGAGCTCGGAAGCACGCAATGGAATAACCGGAGTGCTCACCAATCGATAATCTTTAACCCTCTCCAATTTAAACAACATTAGGTCCTAAAAGTAGGTAGAATCTTGATTATCTCATAACATCAGTTCAAGCCCTGAGAAATCAGCAAAGGAACTAAGATATACAGGATTCTTAGCTATCTACCAGAACTAGAGAAAATCTGCCCACCAATTTACCCAGAGAAACAGAAACCAAATGTTTAGAAATTATAGAAGCCAAGATTGACTAAATAAAATGTCAAGGGGAAAGGCCAGAAAGTGTTTGCACGGGAGGTCCTTTGAAAGGCATATTCCTAAATTCAACAAAGAAGCTAAAGAAATAGAAAGAGAGTAACTGTTTCCGCATAGATCTTTCCGAAGAAGTAAAGAGATGCAATCAACACATCCTAAAATCTTATGCAAACTAATTTCAGTTCCAAAAAAATATATTCGGGTTGAGCACCTTTTCTGGATCTCCCCCATCTTTAAACAGGTTATATGCCTCCCGCATTACAGGTCGTGGATCCCTCCCCACCTACAATCATATACAGAGCTTTTATTGAAAATTAGTCGTGTGGAAATTTCTTTTTCAGCAAAGTAAATGCAAGTAGAAAGCCATTACAATATTGCAAGAGGTACCATAAGCATGTTTTGTGTACACCCAATCTGAAAGCATGAGGTCAAACACCCAAAATTCAAGGCAATAGCTAAACTCCAACGATGAGTAACATTCTTAGTCTGGCCCGCTGGAAGAGTTAGCTTATGCACTATTTTTTCAACATTGCGATTTTACTACACTTGCTGGACCAAGAAAAGGCACTTACCTCGAGAAATCTTTTCCTTGCTTCATCCACTCCATAAAGTTGAGCCTCACAAAGAAAACACCATATTGATTCCTCAGTGTCATTTGGATTTTGTGCAACATCTATTCTGAACTGCTCTGCACCTTCTTCGAACCTTCATAAAAATAAACCTAAACTAAGGATCAGACTGTTCTTACATCCTAAATTCAAAAAGCATCGGCCTCACTTGAATTTCCACGAAGATGGTGGGAGAAAATAGAACAGAAATGTAGAGAGATCGCATGAATACTGAAAGGCTCAGGAATTTAAAGCGTGTTAGCATAACACAACTTTAACAAGCATTCACACGCAGAGGTAATAGGTGCACCAGGGTTGGTAGTACTCAAGCTGATAAAGCATCATTCAATTACCTATCGAGATAGTAAAGTGACAGCCCTCTTTGCCAAAGATCTAAACACACCAAAAGAAGTCCTCCGGTTATGCACAAAAACATCATGACATTAGCAAGAAGAATCTGCAGAGCACTTCTCGCAAAATTCGAGCAACTTACATGCCTTTTGACGAGGATCCAGCTCTATCGCCTTATCAAATTCCATCAAAGAACCAATAACGTCCCCCTACAGGAGACTGAAGAAAGATTAAGCTCGTACACAAGATGACAGCATATGGCAAGAACCACTATGCCGACGTCCTAATTAACCTATAAAATCCACGACCACTGAGCTAATCACCATCGAACCGAACAAGCATGCTGAAACAGAGACATTATTGGCAAACACAAGAACCCAGCATGACAACTACCAAAAAAAGAAAGGAAAACAAAATGATAGAAATCGCAGTGACCTGTCTGAAGAGCAGCATTCCCCGTCGAACAGCGAGAACCGCTTCGCGGGCATCGTTGCCTCCTCCACCTCCTCCGGTGAGGGCCTCCCAGATGCCCGAAACAGAAGGAAGGAACAACCTTCGAGACACGGTCGTGATGGGGTTCCGGTGATACTGAATCACGGTCCAAGAAACGGAGCTAAAAGAGCGTGACAACTTGGGGGCTCTGGGTGTGGTGGTGGGAAGTGACGAGGGAGATGAAGGTGGTGGTGGGTTGGAGAAGTGGGAGGGATGGAGGACTGCGGGCTTAAGCCTGTTGACCGACGCCATGGATTCACAGAGCGAGCGAAGATTGCTCCGATGGTTTTCTTGGTTTTTGGGAGACAAAGATAAGGCGCCAAAAACCAGGGCTATTGAGATTTTCTGTATTTATTTATTGGGATAGCACCACGAAAAACTTCAAATTTATGAATTTATGACAAATTTACCCCAAATTCCAGTATACTCGTAACAAATTTACTCTTCATTAGTTTCTGTTAAATTTTATCGTTAAATTGCTGTGTTGGATGACACGTGACAGTTGACAAGTGTACAGATTTAGGATTTTATCCTCAATTTGTCACAGGTGTACTAGTTTATGATTTTTCGTGAGATTAATTTAATTTAACGAAAACTAATGGAGGGTAAATTTGTCACAAGTGTACCAATTTGGGGTTTTTAGTGATCAAAAAATTAGTTTTGGGTAAATTTATCATAAGTGTACCAGTTTTGGGTTTTTGATAGTAAAAAAATCAGTTTGGGTAAATTTATCACGAGTGTACCAATTTAGAGTTTTTCATGATACTAACCCCTTTTTATTTTATCTTGGGACAATACTAAAATAATCCGTGTGCTGAATTTTCATATTTGTCCCCCGAACTTTAATTTTTGTGCAATTTGATCCTTACTCTTTGGATCAAACACAAATTCGTTCGTTAATTTGATGCGCAGAGCCATGAAGCTATTTCTTAGAACAACGATACAGAGAAATAAATAATCTTATCTCACTTCATCTCAATATAGAAAAATTAAAGATGATAATATGCATCGTTGATAATTAAAATGCGATATCGCTGGTTGATTGCCCGACAAGTCTCCTATTTTGTGAGCAAATATGGTCAAATTCGAATTTATATTCATATTTTATGCTAAAAATCATCCATGTCTATCTAAAATCTTGCATGCACCTAAAATGCCCTATTTGGTTCAACATTGAGAAAATGTTTTTGCATTCCGAAAGTATCTTTGAATGAAGGGGCATTTGGTAAAAGCAATAGTATTTGGATAACTCATATTGATGTATATTTTGTAAAGCATCTTTGAAGCGAAAAAAAAAAGGAAAAAGAAAAAAGAAAAGAAAAACAAAGAAAAATAGATCTAAGTGAGCATTGCAGAGGCAACGACTAAGCGAGCTTCACCAACGTTGACCACAGGCAAACATCGATGGCAACTGTCGGCTGAGGTTGCACGAACTTAGATGAGGCAACCCTGCGGTCACACGCGACTTCGACAAAGTGAAGAGACTTCACTAGTGATTTGTAACATCAATTCTAAGGTTTTTGCACGAACTTAGATGAGGCAACCCCTGCGGTCACACGCGACCTCAACAAGGTGAAGAGGCTTCACTAGCGATTTGCAACATCAATTCTAAGGTTTTCTAATTTGGAGATTTGCAACGTTGGAGCTTCACCGGCGAAGACCATCCGGGCTCTTTGACCATCCGTAACCTAGGCAATGGTCGTCGAGGATGCGCGACGTGACCACGGTTGAAGGGCTAGATTTGGTCGCTTGACCGTCAACCTTGACCTCGACCCACAATAGCTCAGACAAAGACAGCAGTTCCGGCAAAGATGAGGGCTTGCAGCATGCGTGACTCTCAACCTCGACGACGGGCGACCTCACCCTAGACATCAACTTCAATGATGAACCAAGGAGCTTAAGGAAGATGAATAGTGTTTTTTTAGGAAAACGTGGAACACACAATTATCAATGACGATAATATTGAAAAGAAAAAAAAGTTATTAAACCCCCACAATAACATTACGAAATTGCTGAAAGCCCCTATTACTTTGGGTTTTCAGCTTTCCTAATGCTAGTATTTTTGGCCAATGGGATCCCAGAAATAATTGCCAAACACCTCTTATTTTCCCCAAGAGGCTTTAGTGGCTCAAAACTCATTGGGAAAGCTGAATCAAACGGGTTATTAGTGCTAGCAAAGGAACTAGTACTAGAGTCGACTTTTAAATTTGGTGTCCGCACTCGAAAAGTCATCCTTGGCCCTAATCAATAAAAAGGCACAAGTGTATTCGAAGTTTTCAAAATTTATCATGAAAATGCAATCAAATCTTGAAACTTGTTTAATTTGACCTTGCCTGGGGCCAACGAGGATAGTCGAGCTTTGAAAAGCCCAAGTGACCTTCGCCAGCCCTTCACGATGGTTGTGGCGGCGACCATCGACAAGGGCTTGGCCATAGCCGCTAGTTGCGGGTCTATTTTTGTTTTTATACAATTTTTTTATCTTATTTTTTCAATTTATTATAAAAAAATTAAATTTGGGATAAAACGACGACGTTTTAGTCTTAATGAGAGATAAAATATTAAAATAAGCCACGTCAAGTTAGACGATGCTAACTTAAGGTCTCGATTAAACCAATTTGACAAATTTTAGGACGTGATTGCATTTTTTGCAAGCTTTATGACTCAATTGTACTTTCGTGACAAGTTTTAGGACTTTCGGTGAACATATCCAATCTTTTTTACTTTTGGCTTTTCTATTTCGATTTTTTTCCTTTTTCTTCTATTTTTTTTTATTTTTTTCATAGCATTTCTTTTTAATTTTTCAAGCTTTTTTTGCAACGTTGTGCTTAGTTTGTGCCACATCATTATCACTCGTATTCGAATAACATTAAAAAAAACGACCTCAACATTTTTCTTTAACCAAATTGGATGAAGCTAATAAAAGGGCTTAATTGTACCAATTTGACAAGTTTATGATTTGATTGCACTTTTTCAAAGTTTTGAAATTTAATTGCATTTTTTCGACTATTTTTTATATTTTAATTGCATTTATCTTTTATATATACTAAATGAAAAGTCAACTTTTGAATTTGATATCCGCCCCGAAATAGTCATCCTTTTACAGTGTTTCCCCGATGCAATACTTGCACCTGCCAAGCACACTGTACACATCAAACCTCTATCCCTATTTTGGGGTAAAATAGGGTAATTACCAAATCATAAACCAATTGCAATTGCACTAATTCAATCATAAATATTTTAATTGTGCTAATTTAATCCCAAACGTTTTAACATTTCATTAATTAAGTCAATCCGATCAATTATGGCAAAAAATCTCTGATGTAGATACCAGCTGTCTTGCTTGGTACGGTCGACGCTAAGATAGACATTTTTTACAATTTAAGAAAAAATCAAATTTTAATTTTTTCTTTCCTTTTTTTTTCCTTTCATTTTGGCCTCTTGCGGCCAGCGAGGTTGTGATGGCCTCGTCTAGGGCCTTCTTGGCCCCGCCAACTATGGGCAAGGTGGCCCTTGCTGGCCAAAATGAAAGGAAAAAAAAACAAAAGAAAGAGAAAAATAATAATAAAAAGTAAAGAAAAGAAACAAGAAATTACTAAAACATAATAATAAAATAATAAAATAATATTTTAATTGTGCCAATTTAGTTCCAAACGTTTTAACATTTCACCAATTGAGTCAATCCGATCAATTATGGCAAAAAATCTCTGATGTAGATGCTAGCTGTCTTGCTTGGTACGGTCGGCGCGAATATAGACATTTTTTACAATTTAAAAAAAAATCAAATTTTTTAATTTTTTCTTTCTTTTTTTTTTCCTTTCATTTTGGCCTCTCGCGGCCGACAAGGCTATGATGGCCTCGTCTAGGGCCTTCTTGGCCCCGCCAAATGTGGGCGAGGTGGCCCTTGCTGGCCAAAATGGAAGGAAAAAAAACAAAAGAAAGAGAAAAATAATAATAAAAAGTAAAGAAAAGAAACAAGAAATTACTAAAAAATAATAATAAAATAATAAAATATTATTTAAAAATGTCCACGTTAGTGCAGGCTATTCCATCTAATATGACTAACGTCCACATCAGCGAGTTTCGCCCATAATTGGCTGAGTTTACATAATTAGCAAAGTATGAAAATGTTTAGGACTAAATTAATATTATTGAAAGGTTTATGACTGAATTAGTACAATCGCAATAAATTTAGATCTTGTAATTTCCCCTCCCTATTTTCTCCCCCAAAATCCACCTACATCCATTCTCAACATCAAATTTCAAACGGCTATTCTCATTGACCCAAACTCGTCACGCTTTTATCATAATTTTAAATTAAAAAAGCAAGGATTTAGTCAATATTTCAAATTTATTGCTAGTTTCATATTGCGAGAGTACTTTTTTTTTTCAAAACAAAAGGCATAAAGAAATTAATGTCTCCAAACATAAGCATAACATGCTTTTATTTTTCTTTATTTATAACCCGGTGCATGCGTTCCCGAAAAATAAAATAAGAAGACGAAAATGGAGTTTTGAATTTTACTAACCTAATGTTTTTTTTAGCCCTTAATATATTTTCTTTATAAAGCCAACATTACAATATAATTAATTACCTCTAGCTTCCCCAGCATATGATTTTATTTCGAATGTCAAGTGGGCATCCTAATTTTTGTACGAGGAATCTCTCTATCATGCTCAATTAATTTAATATATAATGTTATATAATACAAATAGAAGTTCCTATTTCTTCCCTCAATATCCTCGATAGTTTATTTTTCCGACGACAACAACCTTATTTAAAATATTTAAAATCTTAAATTATCTTTCTTCTTCCACGTATTTTTTTTTTATAATTAGTGTAATGTGCGGTTCAAAATTTGGGTCGTAGTGTTAATGTCAGCATCAAGACATTTGACAAGTCAATATTCCAAGTCAACTTATAGTTTAAGGAACGAATCACCACATAGTCTTATTAAAGAAAGATTCATTTCTAGCTGGCTGCCAATATACATATGCATGTACTTCTCTGTATATGAAAGAACGTATGTCAATGAAAAAATAAATAAAGTGAAAATGGTTAAACACGATAATAATAAATAAAATCGTTTGAAGCTTCCGTGCATTTTGCAAATAAAGTTGAACAGTTACAAAATAAGAAAAATTTAGATTCAGATTTGATGATTGGAACTTGGAAAAATTTCAAATAAGAGGTTAAAGTATCCTCATTTTCTCAAATAAGAATCGTCCCTCCCACCTCTAGCCCCCATCGCCGGTGGGGCAAAGGTGATGGCCGGTGACCCTTGTTGACCAGAGGCGAGGGCTAGCAGGCCCTCACAAGAACTCTCCTAGTTAGGGTCGGCGACCCTCACCACTACCATTGCCCCGGCGGCAATGGGGCGGCGGCCACAGGCGGAGGGCCTCTGTGTGTGTGTCTCTCTCTTCCAAGTTTTAGTTTTTTTTTTCTTTTTGAGTTTTTTTTATGGAAAGAAAAAAATAGAAAAAGGAAAAAAGAAAGCAAAAAACGAAAAAATTTAAAAAAGATGAAAATGCCCTTGAACTGCTGGTGAGGTCAAGCCCTTTTTTGAGATTGACATGACCACTTCAGACATTTATTTAAAGCAATGTCCACTTCAAATTCTTATTTGAGAAAATAAGGGTACTTTATACCTTTATTTGAAACAAGGTTCACTTCAGATCCTTATTTGATAAAATGAGGGCACTTCCAGCTCCTATTTGAAATAAGATTCACTTTATATCTTTATTTGAGAAAATGAGGACACTTCGAACTCTTATTTAGAATTTTCCATAGGAACTTGAACTCAATTCTCCCTTGTTTGATGACGTAGAACTCTAATTAAACTTTAATAAGATACCCAGCTCTCATGGAACTTCCATCGTAAATTTTTGGTTAAAAATGATTTTTGAGTTATTATTACATCCATCTTCGATTTTAAATTTTTTTTCTTTACGTTAATTGTTAAATAGATGGCACACGTACCACCACGTGTTAGGAGTTCATATTAATGTCATCCATGTAATGAAAAATGTATAGAAAGCCTTATTTTAATGATATTTCCTTTCAGATCGCGTTTCATGATTTTTTTTGGAAGATAAAGGAGCAAAACTATAGAGACATAGTACAGATAATAAATATTGTCCTAAATGCATATATATGAAGGTGCGCGCGCAAATGTATCTTATTTAGGGTTAATACAATGAAAAACCTTAAACTGGTATATCTATTATCCGTGACAAATTTACTCCAAACTAATTTTTGGATTACTAAAAATCTCAAATTGGTACATTTGTGACAAATTTACCCCAAACTGATATGGATTTCCACATGAATTTGCCATGTTAATTGAGCTATTGCATTCAGTAATTTCATGATAAAATTTGACGGAAGCTAACGGAGGGTAAATATATCATGAATATACCAATTTGGGGTTTTTGACAATCCAAAAATTAGTTTTGAATCGATTTGTCACATGTGTACCAGTTTGACGATTTTGGGGTATTTTGACCATATTAACTATAATTTTCTAGTTTCTCTCGAGAATCTTGATAAAATAACTTTTTACTTTTTCGATTTAGCTTCTTTCTCTTTAATATCCTAATTTATGTCTTTTGACTTCATCATATACGTATATTAAAAAAGCAAACGAAGGAATGAAGAGTCTGGTCCGCATCAATATGACACTGATTATTATTAAACCGACGAATTCCATGGTCATGACTCATGAAGACCAATCTCCCATCTCATACGTTGCGTAGTCACTACACAACCACATGCTGTCAAGCTCACGTATGCTCATCAGCTTATATTTTATTCCGTAGAATAGTAAACTAATCTTATCGGGTAATTATTTAATCAGTTCTAAACTTACTGTACGGATGTCTATATGGTCATAAACATTTGCGATAAATTCTAATGTAGCCTTTCGACCGATCGATTTTAGCAGGAAACCGTTGACGTGACAGTGTGCCACGTAAGACGGTCGTTGAGTATTAAACTACCGGGTCGATAATTTCTAGCGAAAATTGACTGGAAATACTATATTGAAATTTTACGCAAAGGTTTAGGATTATATTAGTAAAATTGAAAATTTTATTATTGAATTGGTATCCATATCAAATTTATTATTGAATTGGTAGTTTTCTCGAATATTCTCAATACGTGACTCGTGGGCATTCAACCAAACTTTAAGCCAATTTTAATAGTTGAAAGAATCGCGAAGTAGATTCCGCAATGCACGTCCAATAGGACTAGACTTGAACTCAACGCAATCTTGACCGTTCGATTTGACTATTAAAATTAAATTTTCCCTAAGGTTGGCGTTGTGCTAGAGCTATACGGCAAGAACGAGAAATAGAACGTTAAATTCTTTCGAAATCATTGAAATTTATGAAAAATTAATGACTCCACTAGGTTATTAAGCCAAGATTGAAAAGAAACCTCTCGTAAAAAAAAGAAAGTATTTGTAACGAGACCAAAGTAATTTTCACGTTGTATTGCACACACGCGCATTTTGGAGTCCTAGTCAATTACCATTGACGATTCACTTTGGTGGTGAAAGGACCTATTCTCATATCCCGTCCTCATCGTCATGTTGAGATCATCTCACATCGGTTGTGGAAAGAGTTGGTGGTCAGTTTATAAGTATGAGAGAGAGTTTCGTCCTTTGAGCTAGTTTTTGGATGAGAGAGGTTCAAGACCACCGAATTCTTCTCCCTCCCCAGGTTCTCAAGTGTCTCCCTCTCTCCCGTCCATTTCGAACGCCAAGTTTCCTCTCTACGGGAAAATTTGTTGCGTGAATTATGCTCATACATGAGCTTGATCACTCCCGATCGTCTTGTCACGTGGATCCTACATTGGAATTTCATGATTTGATAATCGACATTCTCTATGCTCGTGGACGCTTGAAGCATGTGAGCATTGCTCCCCCTTTCCCGATGGGATGCTTTTCATTTGCCTTTGAAATTCTTCTCATAGCCCACAGTTCTAGAAAATTCAAATACCATCAAAGAAGATGATGATGATAATGATAATGATAGTATTATCTTTCTCAAGAATTCTATCTTGGCTTTTCTCGAGCCTCCCCCACATTGAAATCGTCGTGCATTCACACAACTTTACGTGATTTCATGGATTGCGTATAAATATAGGATGTGGAGTTTCGTTCAAAATAAGATGCACACGGACAAAAGGCGATTTGAAGGTGTCCATCGGGATTAGTCAAGACAAACCGTCAGGCCCAATATTCAACTCCTTTAAATCACGATCGACCTTGAATGATTTCACAATGAAGTATACATTCTCCAGATTAAATAATTCACAAGTATCACATAATATATGCCATAGATAGACAAAGGGTCGAAATGAATTTATATATTTAAATGATGAATTCACACGAACTCAAAAGACCGGACCTATCTATGAAAATATCGAATTAACTATGCTTTACAAAAACAGTCTAATCTATTTACATTTATTACGAAATTCGCTTTTCTTGTACCTCCCGGAGCTAACCCTACTTTATGACGTGCTCTTCTTTTTCTTGTTGTTATCGTTATTATTACTATAATAACAACAATAATATATTCTGCCGTATCTTTTACCTCCTGGAAAAACACGTTGTGGGTTTGATGAATTGGGTAGGTTCACATCAGTTGCAGCTGTTGACCTCGATTTACACGGGACCTTTCGTTTCCCTGATCAACACGAACTCTTGTGCATATCAGAGCAAACCAAACCTGAAAAGAGGAGCATTTCCGTACACTCGGACGATATCTAGCTAAGCGTTAACCACTCTTTCTGGTTCTGGCTGAATTCTTCCCACGGAAAAGCTCATGCAGACCGACATGAATCAATTGCCAGAAAGCTGCGTCTCCGCGATCCTCTCCTTCGTGTCTCCGGCCGAAGCATGCCGGCTCTCTCTCGTGTCCTCCACGTTCCTGTCGGCGGCCGAGTCCGACGTTGTCTGGGCACGGTTCTTGCCGTCTGATCAAGTCGATATAGTCTCCGGTTTGGTCGCTCCCGTCAAGTTCTCTTCGAAGAAAGAGCTCTTTCTTTGGCTTTGCCGCCGCCCTCTTCTCGTAGATGGCGGCAGAAAGGTAAAGTTCCCACATGATGAGTTGTTTCTTTTCTCTGTTTTAATAACAACGTTCTTGCTTCCCACGCGTTTCGTGCACGTATATGGCATTTCTTGTTTATGATCAAGACCTATGCGCATGTAAGTTAAAGTATGTGCACGCATTACGATCTTAATAAGGCCAGCAGACAAAGAAAACAGAACATTTTCCTCCATCAACATCATATTTCTCGCAGAACTTTGAAAAGTAGATTGAATCTTTGTTCTCATGCTCATGCCTTCGGACGATTTATTTGATATTTGATGTTTTTTTTCAGAGCTTCAAGTTGGAGAGATCATCCGGAACAATATCGTACATATTCTCAGCAAGGGAGCTCTCCATAAACCGGAGCGACGATCCCGAGCATTGGATCTGGGAAACCCTACCCGAGTCGAGGCGAGATTTTGAACTTTTTTTTTCCATTTTTATTTTCTTGTTATATTAATATTTGAATATATTGGTGCATAAAGAGGTCAGAGCTAGACTCTGATGCTGATGGCAATACTTTTACCTTGATAAAGAGAATTACCAAGTTGGAAAATTCATTAGTCGTGGTTTGACCAGCAAAAAAAGTCAGACTTGGATGACAATGCTTGTGTTTTTCCCTTTCTTCTCTAGCAGGTTCAAAGAGGTGGCTGAGCTAAGAACAATCGATCGAATAGAAATTCAAGGGAGCATCAAAACCAAAGCCCTATCCCCAAACACTCTCTACGGGGCGCACCTCATCTTCAAGCTCTCCGAACATGCTTTCGGGCTCGACCTGATGCCCTTCGAGACATCGATCGAGATGGGAAACCGGGTTCGACCGGGCACAGCTCATTTGCAACTTCCTGATCAGAAGAAACGCCGCCTCGAGAGATTGATGTACGCGAACCGGTTGGAAATGCTTAGGAAGCACTGGGAGATGGGAGGAGATTGTCGAGGCGGCGGAGTACCGAGCGAGAGAGAGGATCGTTGGATGGAGGTTGAGGTTGGAGAGTTCTTCTTGATGGGGGGTGGTGAAGGATATGAGGAGGTGAGGATGAGCTTGAAGCAAGTGAAGGGCTATCAACTGAAAGGTGGGCTTGTGGTTGAAGGCATTGAAGTGAGGCCCAAAAGTTAGGTTAAGCAAAATAGAGACGTGGATGGGCCTTGTTTTGGTTAATGCGCCTCTTTAAAGTTGGAAGTTATGTGGCCCATGACAATGATTAAAGGAAAGAGAGGAGGCAGTTCATGGCATGATTGATGCTGAAATGATTGAATTCAATCTTTGATTTTTGCTTTTTTTCTTTGGTTAGAATGGAGTCTTAGCCAGATAGAGATTCATTTCTTAGTTTTCAATGAAGTTCCCGTGCTTGTCTCTCTGAAGTATATCGATACATCGATTCGCATAGATTTTTTTTATTTGGATGGGAAAGCTAGATAAATTACTCACTGTTTAATTATATTAATTGTCTATATTAAGGGCCTTGAGCAATTAGCTTGCAAAAGGGATAAGTGCAATGGAAATCCTAAAATTTATCACGAAAGTGCAATCGAGTTCTAAAACTTTCAAAAAGTGCAATCAAGTCCTAAAACTTGTTAAATTGGTTCGATCAAGTCTTTCTGTTGATTGCACTTTTTGAAAGTTTTATGAATTAATTGCATTTTCGTGATAAGTTTTAAGACTTCTAGTGTACTTATCCCGCTCGCAAAACAAGCACTTAAACCATGCAAGCCCAAAGATCTGTTTAGGCCCGATAAGCGTTGGGCCCATAGCCCATTAGAGAGCAAAACCCTAATTCGAGCTCTTCGTCGTCCCCTCTTTATAAAACCCCCCTCAACCTCTACGCCCACAGTCAATCTTGCGGCAGCAGAAGCCGTCAAGCTAAGCCCGCGATTCTTCTTCGTTTTCGCGAGTGTTCTTGGCAAATCCTCTCTCCTTCCCTTGCTAATTCTCTCTGTTTCGCGCTGTCTGCTTCTTTCTTTTGATGGGTAATTACTGTCGTTGTCGTTGTCGTTGTCGTTTGGTGGGTGATTGTAGCAGTGATGATAAATGTTCATAATCCCAGCTCATTACGAGACCCGTCACAAGGTCAGGGAGTTGAATTCTTGTTTCCAACGTTTGTCTGAGCCCTTGAAAGTCACCCCCTTTTCGTCAAAGACTGATTTCAACGATGGGTGGTTTCCTTTGTCGATCCGGAACAGTTTCTTGGGTTTCCTCTGATTTTGATTTCGGTTGTTTCAATGTCTGTGTTGATGAATTCGTAAGGAGGCTGCATGGTTATACTCCCAATGACGATTTTGATTGAACCATGCTAATGTACCTGATCTCATGTGAGTGAAAAAGCTGTTTCTAGTTTGCTCCGAGGGAAGTGGATCGAATGATTTCTGTCTGTTCGAATGGTTCTTCTTAATGCTGTGAAATTCATTCTTTGAGGGCTCAGTGAAGAAGACCCATTTGAAGGAGTTGTTCTGTGTTTGTGGCCCAAATCTCTGCCTTTTCAGATTTCTTGATTACTGCTTGCACGTAACATGCCCTGTTTCTATTTGATTGTTTGCAACGTTGTTCGAGTTCGTGGGTGTCGACGCAATTCATTTGTGGGAAGAAACATGTTTTCGGATTCTGCAGGAAGTTCCCTGTGACGACTTTATGACATACCATGCTAATGCTGATCATCCCATGATTTGAATGATCTCTTCATATTTGATTTCTGAGGGAACTATTCCTGCCTTTTTTTTGGCTCATTGATTGAGCTGATGCTCTTCTTTTCCCTCCTTTTCTTTTTTTTCTCTTTGCTCTTTCTTCTTGGAACTGTGTATCTCTACCGCTTTCTTTGCTTGTGCCTCAGCAACACTTGCAAATTGCAATGGTACTTTTAACAGTACTATTGGTAGATTGATACATCAGCCTCAACTCATTAAACTTTCGGGCATTGCCAAAACTTTAGTTTTTTGTCACCTCTGCAGTTGATTGTGTGCTTAAATGTTTGAAATCAAGCAAAGTAATTCTACCAATCAGGCTGAAAAAGAGAAGAGAACGGAGAAAACGAAGGGCCCGACCAACTTAAGGATGACAAATTGAACAAGACCCTGTTTCTTTGTTATGACTCATTGAGGCATTGAACTTTGGATAATTGTACTTTGTCTTCTTAATGCAATTTCTTGGGTGAATCAGTTCAATTGTGGGTTGCTGTTGTTCACTTTTGTCTTTAGTTGCTAACTTGCCAGGTTGAAAGGTGCACTCAAGGTACATTAGAAGTGCCCATGTCTGTGCATGTGATGGTCGACTCATTGATTCCCAGACTAGGAAGCCTGATCATGTGATTGCCCATTTCACATGAACCGCCAGACCATTTAAATGATTTAAGGATGTTGGACTCACTTGAATTAGGATTGACTGAAAAATTCTTGACATAGAGATGAGCGACCCAATCACAAATGTGCAACGATCATTGGATGGGATTGAAAGCTCGAAAAATCATTGAATATGTACGCATATTGAATGGATAACAGGAGTAGCTGAATTTAAATTAGAGAAAGAATTTTACTTTTCGTCTCTGTGCTTTTGCATCTTTTCTAACCAAGTTTTTGTTCTTTTTTTAATTTTTCTGAACAAGTCCTATTTTCATAAATATTCTAATCAAGTCTCTTTGACATAAAATCAGGCCAAATTCAATTGTGGGCAAAATTTAGCAAACAAAAATTGCCTACATGTATGCCGTGGAAGAGTTTAGCCACTATGAACTATGTCGGAGGATGATGCGGATAAGATTTAGCTAATGTGAACATTTATGCCGGAAAGAAAAAGATGGCTGGATTTAAATTAGAGAATTTAAGAAAGTGGATGGACTCGATCAGATAAATTAAGAGTATATGGATTTAATTTCAGGTTATGTGAAAGTATAGAGACAAAGGGTAGAATTTACCCTAAATGAAATGATTGAATTGTTGTATCAATTATCATCTTAACGATCAACTTCCAACGAACGGAGGATTGGATCGGCTTTAATCATATCCTACAAGATCCCTTCTTTCTATTTTCTCTAACAGATTATCGGAGTGTGTAGGTCGGCTACTATTGCTATTGCACGTAATTCTTCTGACTTAGGCAATTGGTTGTGATGATCAATCAATCCATTCATCGGATCAAAAGATATTAAAAAGGTGGGTGGGGGGGTGGGAGTTGGATGGCGATGGCTTCGTTCCTTTCACGTGGGACCTTGCTAAAGGCTACAAACTACGTACCAAATCGAAGCAATGCCTCACCGAATCTTTATAAGTGGATGGTGTCGTGGCGTGTAATGAAAGTGGAATTACAAGGTGGATGTTACCATCAATATCGTCACGTTTCTTTTGCTCATCAGCCACCCGTTTCTTGATTTTTCCCCATTGACAATGAACCCCGAGAACTCTTGGCCTCCCTTCTTGAATATGTAAGCAAGATCGCGTCCGCGAGGATAACGAGACAAATGGTCTTTCCAATCTTGCGATGACAAGCGTTTTGGACGAACGAGCGAATGGAATTCTTCATAAATTGGTTCGTAGAGATACAGCCAGACGAATTGTTAAGTGAGCAATTGAATCAGCGATCCTATTCAACGCAGATGTTGCGAGATCGGACCCGTTTTTCGGGAAGCTAGCTTTCTTTTTCTTCTGCATTGCTGAATGTGAAATCCGTGGAGATCTCCATGGCATGATTGCGCATGCAGTCTCAGGCTCTCTTACACCTACACGATTCATTTGACAGAGAAATCATCTGGCCGATCTATAAACCTCTGCACTGCTTCATCACCTGTCAAAGATCTCTTCCTTCTACGTCTGGGAAATGCTCATTCGGCGACAAGAATTGCTCTCTACTTTAATGCGTGCTTCGCTGTCTTGGCTATGTCGTTATGCATTATGCCACCTTATTTTAATCCCTTAAACAAACATTAACCAGAAAGGATGGTTTCTTGATCAATGAAAGGAATCCACGTGAAGACAGAGAGAGAGAGAGAGAGAGAGGGAAGTCCATCGCTCACGCAATTCCTTATCCTACCAAAGCAAATAAGAAAGCAAATTGCTCATGAAATACAATTGAAAAGGCAACCGACCCTCACGAATTAGCTAAGCAAATAAATATTTGCGCCTTTCGGCTTCGTGTCGAAATGCCTCGAGTTTAACTTCGATTGTCAATTGAGGTGACCTTCATCATAATGGCATGCGATTTTGGAATGACGTAAATATAGTCAATACTGTGGGAAGAGAGTAATCGATCGTGAGTTGACATCCGAGAATGAAAAGCAACGAACAGTCTAAGCTCTTCTCCTAAACGCTTGCCGAATACCCGAAAGCCGAAATCAGCTTGCCACGTGGCGAAGACCCTTCTCTTTCCCCATCACTTCACTTCTTGTTAAAGGTGTCCCTCCTGTCCGTTCACGACATTCCTTTTTTTAATTCTCGCACCAGCACCACCCGCAGCGGCATTCATCACCTTTTCTCACCGAAACTGCTCGATGTCTTTGACAATCGTTGGCTAGATCGGATTAGATCTCGCAACTGTCTCGTTTGATCATGTCGGTGTCGAGAAGCCTCAGCGAAGTATCCGAGGGAGAGACTGTGGGAGTGAGCTTGGATCTTGTTTCGGCGGTCAGGCGGAACATTGGGTTCTTGAGGACCGTGGACGGGTCGCTTTGGCTTCACGACAGACCCGCCATTGTTGAAGCCATCCGGAGGTGAGAAAGTTCCCATCTCGAGCACTTTTCAAGTGGCCCGTGATCAATATGTGGAGGACTGTGAGACGGTGGTGCGGAAAAGTTTTGATTTTCCTGCTTGTCGTGTTCTCTTTCTTTGCAGGTATGATGAGCTGTGGATGCCGTTGGTTGCTGAAATCTCAGTGGGTTCAACGCCTCCCATAGTTCTTCCGCCTCTGGATATTGAATGGGTTTGGTTTTGTCATACACTGAACCCAGTAAGTCTAAGTTGATTCTGCCATATGCTTTAGATAACTCTGTTCTGTAATGAGTATGAAGGATTGAAGTGTGTGAAGTTCACGATCGTTTGGAAGTTAGGTGACTTTGTGTGAAAATGAGCTGATTTCAACTGATTATGCTGGTTGTTCATGGATAAATTAATGTCATTCGAGTGAAAACGAGGAGACTATCCAGTTAGAGTTTCCATTAACTAGTTCATTCGTTCGAAACTTTGGTTGTTTAATTAGATAATGCTAAGGCCCATCGAGAATAATGATCACTCGTTTCCAAGTTTGGTTCTTAAAAGGCTCTGCTTCCAGGTGAACTATGGGCAATACTGTGAATCAAGATTCTCGAAACTCATCGGTAAGCCGACCATCTTTGATGAAGAGAACGAAGAATATGCGTTGAATAGATGCAGAGAAATCTGGATGCGCAGATACCCATCTGAGCCTTTTGAGAATGAAGCAAATTCAGAGTCGCCCATCACGCTTGTGAGAAATGAAGATCTTTTGAGTGAAGCGTTGAAGCAAAGGACCTTGTATTCGAAGTTCTCGGAACCCTACATGACTGAGATTATGTACCTGATAGCGGCGAGACAAAGATATAAGGGGTTCTTGTATATCTTGCCAAGAGTATCGGATAAGTGCAGCCGCTTCGTGCCTACTTGCGATATTCTCATCATGTGGCTAACTCATCAGGTGAGATTAATGGGTTCTATTGTTTGTTCCTTTAAGTTCTTGTTGGGTCACTGATGGTTACATAAAGGATTTTCTTGCATTATCGATTAATATAGAGGTTCTGTTTAAATAACTACTTATTCATCCGAGGCTCTGTTTGCATCTTCTTATATAAGATTTCCATAAGATTATTTTCTCATATATTAATGACTTATTAAATACGATGAAAATCATTATAAGATCTCACAAAGAAATAAAAACAGATGCTGAATTACCTTTTCTTTCTTGTGGAAATGAATATACAAATAGCCTCTTTGTCTTACTAGAATTTCTGCTGTGGCAAATAATGATTCAGAGCTATCCAACAGTATATGCAGAAGACTTGAAAGAAATGGAGTGCGATGTCAGCAAGGTGGCAAGAGTGTGGGAAACTGTAGAGGAAGAAGAAGCGGAAGAAACCAAGAAGCTGTGGGAAAGAACCTTTGATCAACCTTACGAGAAAGCAGGAGGTTGGATCGCTTTGGACCGGGAAGGAGTACCCTCATTTAAGCCACTGGTATACTGGGAAGTGTCCGACACTGATGTCAACACCAAATACAAATCCTTGATGCCTAGATTCCTGCTTGAGGTGAGACTATAGTGTGATGCTTCCCTTTCTCCATTGGTGTAGTGGTCATGGTCCATTGGGGTAAATGCACTCAAGTACTAAAGTCTAGGATATGAAGAACTTTTGAGACCAGAGGTTTAGTTTGGAAAATAATAGAGTTCTGCCTCTGCCTATGCCAAGTTATGATTTGGAAAATTATGCCAAGGATAGCTCGGCAAAAGCTTTGGTAACTCGGAATATTTCACTTTGAGGGGGTTCATCTGCATTTGAATGCAGCGGTTAAGAGAATTAATTTCATATAGAGGCTTGTGGATTTGACTTGAGAAGGCAGGGAGCACCAGTTTTAGTATGTCTGTTGGCTTTACCATCGGATCCTCTAGCTTTACAAATCCACAGCAATAGGGCGCAGATGTTCACGATGGTTTAGAATGGTGTATTGTGTCTTATATCCAAATTAACTCTGTTCAATTGAAGTGTTCTAATGGGCATTGACAATCAGGACAGTGACAAGGTCTGTAAGTAGTTTCCTAAGTGGATTGTGTATTAGGACAATTTGCTGAATCATGTGAATCGAGTTGTTTTGGCATATCTTTACCTTATGCATCAAATGCGACTTGAGACAATGATTAACAGGTAAGGCTTAAGATGACTAAAAAGCTGAAGTGAACCGCAATATAAATGTACTGATGGCACATATTACAGGTCTGCATGTTTGCAAGGCTCGGTCCAAAGATGAAGCCGACACAGAAGAAGATGACACGTGATTTTGTGCGTCTCCGTGCTGTACGATGCCACAAAGAGCTTAAGATCGATAAGCCCCTATCCAGCATTTTGTATGACTCTTGGCAAATGGTTTGGCACCTCTACTGTGAGTTTGGAACCAGGGGTGTTATTCTTGAATTTCGTCATTGCGGTGGTCGCTGTTCCAAAGGAAGTAAGCTAAAGAATACTGAAGCGTTTCTTTGGAACGATTTACTTAGGGCGCCGACTCTTACTTTAGGGAGAGAAGTTGAGCAAGGGGTTGGTATTGTTTCTTCGATAACTCCACCGGTTCAAGCACCCTATCTGTTGAAGTGTGTGCCGGATAGAGTCACTGATGATTCAGGAGCCATGATCTCCGATGAAATACTGAGGATGAACCATTATCATCCTCAACAAGGTCGATGGTTGTCAAGGACTGTTCTCGACCATGCAGGAAGAGAATGTTTTGTCCTACGAATAAGGTAAAGTTCTACATTTCTGTGTATTGGGAATATCGATCAGCTGCAAAACAAGTCATTCCTTACTCATAATTTTAAGTCATGTGCATCTTAAGGTAGACTATAAAACCTGAGATTGCAAATTTTCTTCTAGCTCCCTATGACACAAGTTTTGACATTGTGGATAAAAGGGTGGGAGGTGGCTTCTGGAGAAGAGGTGGCGAAAATCCATCAAATGTTAAGTGGGAAGACCGGATTATTGAGATACGTGAAGGTTCTTGGTCGTATGTCGCTGGTTCTATCGGCAGAGCTCCTGGTATGTTCTGAAACCTTTCCATTTTCTGAGTGTTACTAGTCATGGTGTCATCTTTTGGCAGTCAATACCATAATGCTAAGGAAACGGTCTTAGCCGTACACCAGTACTTTTCAACCTTTGCTGGTGTAAGTCGTTTCATCGTTCACTCTGATTACTTGTCAACTTAAGGCCCATTGGACAGAGTTTTGCTTTTGCTAAAGTTCAAATTAGGATTACTCAAACATATGATTGATAAAAGAAGAGGTGTTTACAGTGAAGGAGCTACGACGTAGATCTTCGCAAGCTAGCGACGTGAGTCGTAAATGCATGAAACACCATGCAAGTTACACTACTCATCCCTCCTTGTTAAGTTGTATTTCTGAGAAACAATGTCAATGCTAAAATTTTAACTTCATAACTTAACGGTGAAAAATCCTTTTTGGGTTTGCTAGATTTGAGAACTAGGTAGCTGGGAGCTTGTCCTGATAATCTCTTCTATGCCCTAATATGGGGACTTGAGCAATTTTTTTTTCTCATGTTTTCCTCGTTGTTGAAGGACCCTGAAACAAATTGCTATTATCTAGTGCAGAGAAAGTAGTGGGAACGGCTATGCCAAAAGAGCCTCCAGAGCAGTGGGATGCTGCATGGCAGTTTTCCTCCGGAGATGAACTGATGCTGCGATCGGAGTCATCAACATCAAGATCGGGTCTCACATTTTCTTTGAGAAATCAAACGTCTTCTGATTCATCAGTAAGGCCAAGATCATTTTTGAGATTTCAAATCTTCTCGCAAATATTGGGCCAAATTTTCAGGCAAATATGCACCAATTTCAGGTGAAGTTGTTGATAGGCCGGAGAATGCAATACAAAGTCAAAAAAGTCAACCCCAAGAGTGATGCCGAAGAAACAGAGCTGGAAGATAAAGGAGACGAAGGCCTGGACTTGGACGAAGAAGAACTTGACTTTGTAACGGTTGTTCGTATCACAGAGGAGCACCCGACAGGAAGAGCAACTGCTCTGATAAACTGGAAGCTATTGGCGGTGGAGTTCATACCCGAGGAGGATGCGGTTTTCGTGCTTCTTCTTTGCATTTCGATTGTGCGGAGCTTGTCTGAAATGAGAAAGGAAGACTTGGGAAAATTGATGATTAGGAGGAGAGTGAAGGAAGCGAAGCCCGGAGCCCGGAACTGGGGATCGGTAATACTTCACCCCTCTCCTTCTTGTTCTACTCCTGTTTCGCCGTTCCTTCAGCCTTGGCATTGGAATGCCAAAGCGGTCCTGGCATCTGATGGGGCTGATAGCTTAACGAGGCAACCGAGCTTTATTAATTCCGGGGTGGAAGGCGGTGATGCATTGTACAAAAGAGGGATCATGTCATGAGTGAGCATTCACGGGCGAGAGCAGGAAGGAGCGGAGAGAAATATGCAGAACTTGCACGGTTAGTGTTCACTGATGCTTCACTTCAATTCTGTACAGTATGATGTCTCATGCTACACACGCATCATTCTTTGGTAATAACTGAGGCATATTATGGACAAAATAAAGAAGAGATCAGTTAGGTGCTCGTGATCGTTTTGCTTGGGTTGAATTATCTTTCGCTCATTTTTTGATGGAAAGTATCATTTGGTGAAGTGTTTCGACTAGTGTGATTGTGTTAATTTGAGTTAAGAGGGTTCATTACATAGTCCTTTTCATGACATAGTCAAGTAACTTTGGATTTGATTATAAGTGGCCGAAAGATCAACGATCAAATAGCTAGCATCTAGAATGGTCAAAATCTTATTAGGATAATATGATGATGATAATATTGATAAGAATCATCATATGTGTGCATTTTAGTACTGAAGGCGCGAAGCTGTTTTGTGCATTGGGTGTGCCATATGATAGTAACACGTGAAGAAATAAGCCAATCATGAGCGAGAGTTTGTAAAATTCAAACACAAAATTGATCGGGATGCATATCAAGCGGACACCGGGTTTGGCTTATTATACCAATTGGACGGATCGCTTCTGTGATTAGTCTCTCCACAGGGTCTGGCTATATATATATCCTGCAATTCACTTATCAATTGAACACTTGCTAGATTACGATGGGATCCTCATTATACACGCCTTTAGAAGTTTACCGACATGACTTTGTTACCATCACTTCAGAGCAAACATTAACCAAAGACTCGTGCCCTCAGATCGACTATTTCAACAAGCTACAACATTAATGAATAACAATCTCCTTCGTGTCTTCCGTATCCTTTTCTGCTTATCCAAGATTATGAAAAAGAAGAAGAAAAAGATGAAAGCTTGCGGCTCGTTATGTTCTTATACATCTCACATAGCGTATGATTACGATAGTGTTATTACCTGTAATCAATGGAAAAGTTGCTCACTTCACTCTTGTACAAGGATGCTAGCGAAATTTTTTATTTATATCATAATATAGAGATTAGGGCTGTCAAAATAGGTCAAAAACCCATGTTTTAATCCATATTAATTGAAGTGAATTATATATGGGTCACCTTTGACTCCCTTAGCTCCTCTCTAGGCCCGTCAAATGGTCGGGTCGGGTCAGTTGAACCCAAATTGACCCATTTTTATGCAAACTAATTTTATCACTTCATACTTGACCTGACTTAACATGGACTTCAATTCATAACAAATTTTCTCCCTAAATTGTTGTTTCTAAACAATGAGCGACTTCATGCACCACTTGGTGAGTCGATGAGGGAGCTCAGGTTGTGTCATGGGGTAGGACTTTGCGTGGCACATGAGCAATGTAGAGATGTGGGTGAGTGCCGCGTTAAAGAACAAGAACAGTTGTGTGGATGGGTTCAGAGGTTAGGTTATGGAAGGGGGCACGAAGGTGGCAGTAAGGCGAAGGGTGGTTGATCTTGCCCGACAAAGGAAGCATTCTTCAAATTGCCCATTCAACACAAACATTATAATATCAGTTGTTATCCGTTGAGCATCCTTGGATCAATTTTCCATCATTAACATTTAGGGGATCAAAATTGTGGGGATTGTTTATATGGATGTACTATGCTCTTTTAAGTTTCAGTCATATCTCGAAAAAAATATGTGCATTTTGTTGTGATCTTCATACAAAATCTCATACAATATAAAAATCAATTAACAGCTGAGATATTTTATTTTGGAGATAAGTGCATTAGAAATTCTAAAATTTATCACAGAAATGCAATTGATTCTTAAAACTCTAAAAAAGTACAATCAAATCCTAAAACTTGTCAAATTGGTGTAATCAATTTCTTCCGTTAATTTTGTCCAACTAGGCTAACAAAAAATGCTGACATGGCTTTTATATTATTTTAACCCTCCTATGTGATGCTGACATGGCTAAAACTTGAATGACAACGTCAAAATGATGTTGTTTTAATTTTTTAAAAATAGTATTTAGATTAGACTAAAAAATAAACAAAATTAAAAAAAAAAGAGAGGAAGGAGCGCAAAACCGGCTGAGGGCCTACAAGGCCCTTATCGCTGCCGCCCTATCATCGCCAGAAAGGGCCAGCGATGATGAGGCAAGGGTCGGCCAGGGTTGTCGAGCCCTAATCAATGGTTGTTGACCCTGGCACAATAGGCGAGAGTTGGCACTTGGCCCTTGCCCATATTTGGCTTAGGGCTGCCATTTTGCAGGGGTGGGGCGGCTTCTCTGCCACTCGTGGCCCTTGGCCGAATCTGGGCGAAGGCCAATTACCTTCCCCCGATTTAGGGGAGGGCCGACAGGCCCTTGTTTGCGATTGGCTAGGGTCGCTGGCCACTGGCTGAGGCTCGACCGACCTGCGCTAGCTCTTTTTGGCGATAGTGGGGTGGCGGCGACCAGGGCCTTGCCCTCTTTTGCCTTCTCTCTCTCTCTTTAATTTAAATAATATATATTTCAATAAGATTTGAACCAAAACGGTGTCGTTTTAGTAATGTTCTTCATGTTTTAGCTATGTCGGCACCATGTATGATAGAGAAAATAATAAAAAAAGCCACATCATCGTTTTTGTTAGCCAAGTTGGCGAAATTAATGGAAGAACTTGATTGCATTAATTTGACAAGTTTCAGGATTTAATCGCACTTTTTGAAAGCTTTAAGACTCAATTGCACTTTCATGACAAGTTTTAAGACTTCTAATACACTTATCCCTTTATTTTATAATTAATCGCTAACTAAGCAATCCATGAATGGTTTATGGAGAGATTGTAAGAGCACCCGTGCTTATATTGAGAATTTTTAGTAATTCAACTTTGAGGTTATTCCACCATAAGCTTACTGGAAAAAAGAGCCTATTGAGAAAATAACGATCGCTGTTGTCGCGACCGAACTCCCGTGCCTTTTTTTTAAACAACAACATGCAAAAAAAAAAAAAAAAAAAGGGGGGGGGGGCTCGCCTGGTACGTGCTAAGTCTAGGTTCGGGACTTAACTCGGGCTCTCCCAAGCCCATACCATATCGCGACTTAGGGTTTAAGTTTTTTTAACATGCAAGTGGTTTATATCAAGGAGTCGCCACTAATCGATTTGGGGTGGGCCGATTAGAAACCCAAATAGGGTGATGGGAGAATCACCCTATTCCTGCGAACCAGAGATTAACTGAATTCGGGGACTTGGTTACACTAGTTGGATAACTAATGCCCTTTCGGTACCTTTTTACCCTGTTCATTTCTGAAAACATTTGTCAGGCAATTTGAATTGATTTTATGACCTTTCTCCTAACATGTGAGGTGATCAAGCGAGTGCATAATCAGAAACGATTAGCAGTCAGGAACACAACAATGCATGCAGCCTAAGGTTCTAACCTTAACTAAGTCAGATGACATTCAAAACACAACAGCTCATGCAATTGTATTAAAAACATGCATAACAATACAACGGTAATAAAAACTAACATGCAAAATACTACCGCGCAACCTCAGGCTTGTCTAACTTAAACAAGACAAAAAACATGCATAATAATATCACATTAGATTAAGACACTTAGAATATATCAAACAAATTTTTAAATTTTTTTTTTTTAAAATTTTTTTTTTCGAAAAAATAAAAAAAAATAAATAAAAAAAATTAATAATAATAATAATAATACAAAAGAAAAGAAAAAGAAAAAAAATAATAATTTTTTTTTAAAATTTTTTTTAAAATTTTTTTTAAAAATTTTTTTAAAAATAAAATAAAATAAAAATATAATATTAACCGGGTCGCGGATCCGGGTCGAACCGACCGGGTCAACGGATCCGACCGGCGTTGACCGGGTCGATCGGTCAATCCGGATCGGGTCGAATCGACCGGTCAACGGATCCGACCCGGTCGTTGACCGGTCGGACGGCCAATCCGGATCGGGCTCGGAACCGACCCGGTCAACGGATCCGACCCGGCCGTTGACTCGGGTCGGAACTGTTAATCCGGGTCGGTCGGAACCGACCCGAGTCAACGGATCCGACCCGGGCGTTGACCCGGGTCGGATCTGTTGATTCGGGTCGAATCCGACCCGAACAAACAGATCCGCGGGGAGGGGGGCGCCGGCGAGGCCAAAATTGGCCGTCCGCCGGCCGACCCAGGCCAGTGCCGCCCCCTAGTCGCTCGACCAGGACCGCCTCTGGCCGTGCCACTCACCTCGAACCGCCGTCGGACCACCGTTCGCCGGCCGGCGATGGAACAAAAACCGGCGTGGTTGAGGCATTTCGTCGAACGCTTGGCGGGCGCGTGGAAAAACGGGGGATTCCGACCTCCTCCGGCGATCCGGTCGGCTCCAGCGGCTTGGGTTCGCTTCAGACGGTGAGCAGTGGACCGGACCGACGCTCGGTATGGGCCGGATTCGAGCGAAACGGCCGGGCGCGAGTCCCGCCAAACCGAGGCAAAAACAGGGAAAACAGGGAGCTTCTCGGCCGAGGGGGGCTCACCGGTCGACGGCGCGTCTGGATGGCCTCCGGCAGGTCTGGCGGCGTCGACGACCGCTGCTGGTTCTTCTTTAGCTCCGGCGTGGCCTCGGTTTCCTCTCTCTCTCTATTCTCTCTCGTGTTCTCTCTCTCTCGGTTTCTCTCTATATTTTTTTCCAAAATGGCCGACCGGCAGCTTCGGGGTCGCCGGTCGGCTTGCCGGTGACGACGAGGCCGGCTGGGACCTGCAAGACCCTCCGAGGCTCCTCTCTCTTCTCGTGTGTCTCTCTGATTCTCTCCGGCCTCTCTCGGACTCTCTCTCCGTTTTTCTCCAAAAATGGCCGACCCCGGGGGCCTCTCTCTCTCTGTGGCCTTAAGGCGACGTCCCCCGGCTCCGTTACGTTGGCAATGACGACGGCCTGCACCGGCCTACGCCACCCCACGACTTTCGTGGCCATGGCAGGCCGGTGCAGAGCAGAGCAGAGCAAAGGGGGGTCCGGTTGGCCGAGGCAAGCAGAGGCCAACAGGGGGAGAGAGAGGCCGGGAAACGAGGAGGACGGGACCGGCAATTAATGCCGGTCCCGTCTGCGTGCTCTCTCGGCCTTCCTCTGGCCGGATAGCGACGCCGAGGAGCGGCGCCGCCGTGCGTCGGCGTGACGTCTCGAGCAGGGGAGAACAGGGGCGGAGAGAGCGACCGGCGCAGGGGGAAGAAGAAGGAAGGAAGAAGGCTGGGCCGGGCCAGGCCCAGCAGCGGCGTGAGGGA